TATGTATAATGTCAGCGTATGTATGACGATGATGATGATGATGATGACGATGATGATGATGATGATGATGACAAAACACTGCGACTGCCACGAAAAGCTCTTTCCCGTACTGCAGTTGTACTACAAACTGGCCACTTCTGAGTCCAGCTCCGAAAAGCTATCACATGATACCACCAATCATCTCCCTCACCAGCGACACGCCGCGTTTACACCAGCTTGGCTGCTCAGCCATGGGCGCAACGCTCCCTGCCGCTCACGGGGCTCATCCGCTGGCTGAGGACTTGGCAGAAGAACTGGAGCCCCACGGCTGCTAGCTCCCCCGTGGACTTCTCCGAATCCGTGGAGCTCGATCCTTTTCCTTTCTTCTTCAGCGCCCTCCTTGCAAGTCTTGATACTTTCTTCCTCGTCTTTGGATCTGTGTCTAAGCCTGTCCCTTCGAAAAGAACTCCCTAGTCCTTCTTCCCTTTCACCTTGAAGGCCTTCTTCTTTTTCTTGCGTTTTTTCTGTTTCTTTGACTCGCTGCTTTCGCTCCAAGCCTTCTCCTCCTCGACTCCTCCTGCACCTGGAATCTCTTCGGCCGCTCTCGCTGGGCCTCGTCCGCCTCTTGCCGCGGCATCTGAGCGTTCCACGAGACGTCACAACTCTTCCATCCCGCTGGCTCCCTTCATGTTGTCGACCCGCCCGGGATCGGCGGCGCTCCTCTGTCGGTTCTTCTTCATGTGCACCAGATCGTCCGACGCCGGTGTACCTGGGAAATCCGGTGGGCCAAGATGAAGTCGCACGTCAGGAGGCCTTCGTCCTCAGTCCCACTAGCCTGGCACAAGACCTCCAGTGCACCACCGTTGGATCTGGACTCTCATATGTCAAAGGCCAGGTTGATGTCACGGCCCCAATACTTCCCCTCTCCGAGAAGCCTCAGACCCGGACCAAGGCTCCCACTGGGAGAGTTCCTCCCACTGCTGCCCTCCTAAGCGGCCGCGGAGGCATCTCGACTCCTGCCTTCTTCAAGCCACGTACTCCTTGAAAGTCTTCTGGGACTCCTTCTTCTCTGTTCCTTTGTTGTTCCCAGTGTCAGTCCTCGGCTTGGCCTTAGTTGGCTTAGGCTTCAAAACCGGGTAGTTCCTCTTTGATGGGGCAAGTCCTTTCCAATGCGGGGGAGGCCTGGACGGTGATCTAGGTCTGCGTACCTCCTCAACCACCTCTTCCAGTCTGCTCTTCCGGTCTGCTGGGCCCAGCAATGGGGGCACTGGACGATGATCGGTGCTCCTTCCTGTCTTTTCGTCCTCGTGACCTATCTCGATGATGGCGATGTCTCCTTTTCTTTTCGGCAGGGCTTCTCTCTTTGGATTCGTCTGTACTTTTTCGGCGAGGAGATCTGCTTACGACCTCCCTCACACCGGGGTAGTCCACCCTCTTGTCCTCGTCGTTGTAGTCCGGGGCCTCTTCTTGTCTCTTAACCTCCTGCTCTGGCTTCGACGAATGCCTTCGCTCAGGATCCGGCGGACTTGGCAGCTTCTTTGCTGCCAAAGTTCGGGCTGCCTTCTCTTGGTCGGTCTCTGCTGATTCTCCTCGATCCTTTGCCTTTCTTTCTCCTTGAAACACTGGTCGGGGTTGGTGCGCTCTTGATGCCTGTTCTCTCCTCCGGTCCTCTTTTGATGCCTCCTCTCTCCTCTCTGATGCCTCTCGGTGCCTGCTCTCGGTTGCTGCTGGGGGTTGCTTTGACCAACTGGTGCAGCTTGCAGTGCACATCCTATTGACATGCGATAAGTGAAAAATGCATCTCTTACCTGGTGGATAGCAACCAGGCTTCTGCGAACTCCTCCTCGGTGATCTCCTCCGGGTCGCCCTCTCTCCACCAACCACAGGAGGAGGGGTGCTGTCCCCTCCCCTGGCCTGGGTCGGTGCGCGTCCAGGAAGTCCTCGAGTTCGCCGAGCAGGTTCCTGACCTTCACCGTCGAATACCCGACGAACAAATCGGCTTCTAACCTAGTCCCCTCTGCCATCAGCCGATGCAAGCGCTTGACTGACGCGCAAAGGGTGCAGTTGCACGCAACAGCGTGCCCCCACATAGACTAGAGCCAATGCTGCGGGTGTCAATCGCTTACCGGGCCTATCCTCTTTAAATACGGGGCCGAATTTACATATATATATTATATATATATATATATCAAATGGCCTGTCACCAATGATGCCTATAGCTTGAGAATTGAAATGCCCCATCACACATAATTACAACGAGTTGGCCATATTTCAGCTTGATGGAAACTCTTTCATTCATCGTTTCCGAATGGTCTGCCTGCCCCGATGCCCTTTAGAGAGACCATTGTCTGAGCTTCCGCGCGCGAAGATCATTTGTTCTCAAGACTGGCAAGCTCCGCTCCTTAGCAAGCGAGCGCCATCACTGGAGGAAGTAGCTGCGAGCACCTAAATTCCTAAATGTGTCAGGGTCAGTATCATCTGTTCTCCTCTGCGAAGGGATACCAAGTAGTAGTAGCCGTTGTACAGGGCAAATGACATGGGCTGGCAATTCAATTGGGCCAGAGCTAGATGATCATGAGGATCTGTGAGGAAGAGGAAGAAAATTCCTTGCGCTTGCGCAGCTAAGCCTTCGGTCGCAGGCATGTCCCACTTCAAGACCGTATGTCTCACACTGAATCATGTCCGGAGAGAATGGTCGCATGTTGGGATTGGAAGGACAAGAACTTGGCTTTATGAACGCCTGAACTTGAAACACCTGTAGACCACCCAGACCGGTAGATCCTGCGGTGTGTGGACTCTGGGTGTCACGACTCAGAGCGGCCTCACCTTCAAGAGCGACTTCGTCCTGGGATTCGGCAGGAAGATGTGGCTCTACCAACCCTCGCCAACTGATTCAGGTGGTGCTTCCTCTGCTCATATGGTGCGCCCATTGAAGAAGGCCAAGACCAAACGCGTCAGCAAAAGATATGGTGGGCTGTCTTGCGACCGGGGGGGAACATGGAGAAACACAAAATCAAGTGAATTGAAGCACCACATTGGGATCACCTTCATTGTTCTTTTCATTTCTCTGTGTATTCCAAAGAGAAGGCACGCAAACAAATGCGGGAACGATCAGCGTTCCCCAAGTACAAGCAACAGCACGAACACAACCACCCGGAGTTTTTGTTGTTGGTTTTGTCTAAAGAAACGAAAAAGGACACAAAAGTGGGAACTTGTGACTGTGATAAAGCCCCAACAAGAAGGCTACTAGGAGCAAAGGGCATCGCTACTAGGAGCAAGGACGCTACTAGGGGCTCCTGGCATCGCTACTAGGAGCAAGAACGCTACTAACAAGTCTTTTCGTCCTCCTCGGTGAGTTCATCCCACTCCTGAAACGAGCAATGGTGCGAAAGGCAATGCCTTGCAGCTGCCCTAAGGCCTATAGGGCTTACAATAACACAGGGAGTCTTGGGGCAACCCGACTCCCATTATCGGTTGGCTGTGCTGCGTTCACAACTTCTCAAGTATTGCATGTTCGAGGCTGCATGAGAGTGGGGGGGGCCCTTCCAGCGGCCACATCAATCTGAATCTCAAAAAAGGCCACGCAGCAACACCATTTAGGAGTCTTTTCTTACAGTGAGGCTTCAAGGAAGATTCTCCCACTGCCCCGCTAGTCGACCATGATACAGGCCGAACAAAGAAGGTCAAGAAGAGTTGAAACCTGAGAGGGAAGGAACCAAAGCCAGTGGAACCTGGTCGGTCGTTATTCTTCTACTTGACCGCCGTTGACAGCAATAGATGTCCCCTCACCATCTTGGGGAAGATCGGCATGCGTTCCTGTCCAACCACCCAACTACAGCAACGCTGCCAAGGAAAAGACGGCTCTCAGCCAACTCAGCCGAAAGCGTCTTCACCAGAAAGGATCAGTTTCGACGTTCTGAGCTGGTTTGTGGCCTCCTCCCTAGCCTACCGGCTGGCTTTCGTGACACACGGCTAGCTGTCGTAATAAAACCATGTAATGAACGTTGCAATCTAACACTAAATTGACCAAAGACTCATCATCCAGAGCAGCGGACTCAGCTCCGGGACAACGAGGCCGGCAATCACAATCATCCAGAGTTGGATGGTTTTCGTAAGTAAGCGCTTTTACAGAACCCCTTGATTGTACAACAAAAAGTCTCCCTGGTAGACTTGGAGATGCGGCTCCACTCAAGCTTCGTGGTCCTTGTCCTTGAGCTTTTCCAACTCCTCCAGCTCCTGTTTCAGCTCCTTGATCCTCCAGTCGGACATCCAAATGAATCAAGCATGATAAATCCCAAGTTGCTGGCGTATGATTGCCAATTAAAAAAGTCTTGAGGATATGAGCCAAGAGTTCTGAGTCAAGGCTTGTCACCAATGAAAAAACCGCTACCATCGGCTGCCTATACACACACAGAACATCATGGAGTGTAACGAAAGAGTCATGGTGTTCCAAACCAACTCACGTGAAACGTGGGATGCGTTTTTGCAAGACCTGGCTGAGGTAAAAGAATAAGTACAGTATCAAGTGATATTGTGAACAAAGTTGAAGTAAAATTTGAATCCAAGGCCATCAAACATGTTGCATTTGGAGCAAAACCTGTGGTTCCCAACCGCCAGCTTCAAGGCCATGTCCGGGACGGAAGGGATGTAATGATGTCATGAAATGATCCTGGAAGAAGTGAGGGCTCAAGGCCCACGTTTGCAAGAGATGTAGTAGCAAAAACTCCCATGTCCCAACGTATGCTCCTCTTCTTGGTATCCTTCTCGTCCTGCACCAAATCCCTGCCAGCTGAGCAGATTTGACTCCATGTCTTGCATCCTCAAATTCAAGTCTACGCTCCCTGCAGAAACTTGGCTTTCCTCCTATGAAGAGCATACAGCAGACTTCCCAGGTTTTGTTTTGGTGGACCTTTTTACATGTTTTTGCAAAGCGCTGCCATGATCCATGTGAAGGGATGGCAGCGGTCAGAGGAGTATCTGTACCGTTGCAAGCCAAGTTGGGAGGCTGAGAAATCCGCAAATCTGTGCCAGCCTGAGTGCCTGCTGCTTCTGCTCTTTCGCTTCCTCTAGCGAATCAGGTCATTTGCTAGTGGTGCGGCAAACAAGATAGAGAACTGTCATTCCTAGGCACACACCGGCACAACCCTCATCTCGTTTGATGTCAAAGGATGGATTGAAGATTGACAATATCCTTGCAAGCCTTAATGCCACTTGCGAAGTTCGCCCATGAAATCGACCATTGCCGCGACCATGTTCGCAAAGACACCTTTGTTGAAAGGGTGGTGAGCTGCGTGACCTTTGCAATGTCCGAAAAGCACCCATCCTTCGTCTGTACATCGATGTCGACCGTCCATCGAACGAGGCGTGGAAACACGGTCAGCTGATGCCAGCTGTTCCCCCAGCTCTCCACGGTCAGGTGGTTTTCACCGGTCCTTCTCCTTTTGTTCTGCCAGCTTTTTGGCCTGGAGACAAATCACCAGCTGGGCGGGCTTCACCGAGAGCTTCAGCGAGAACCGATTCGTGGTCCGAAAACCCAACATCCAAAACAAGCACCTCGAAACCAACCCTTTTGGCATACACTTGGTCCTAGACCCCCGCCACACAATAGGCCTTATCGTCAAGCAAAGGATGCTTTCGTTTCCAGACTCTAGTTGAAAAAAGAAACGGCAAACCTCTTCCAAAAAGTCTTCGCCATCCTCCATGTCATCCTCTCAATCATCCTCTCCCATCCATTCTCATCCTCTCCCTTCCCCATCACCAGCACCGCCGCTTCCAGCTCCGCCTCCTTCTCCATCCTCCGAATCTCATGCGCATCCAACGGAGCGGCCACGGGTTTCGTTTCCCACGGCTCGGTGCGCTCGCGCGGGGGACCCTCAGGGATGGCGACCTTGGGTGTGTTCGGCAACGCGCGGGGAGGAAGGGGATGCACAACGAAGACCCTTTGAGGGTTTCAGTGTGATGCGGAAAATGGATGGATTGAGTGGAGTTTTAAGTGTAGTTGAACGGGTTTCATCCAAATGATCCAAACTAAGTGGAACTGATTTGAGTCGATGGAACTTGGCTGCTCAGAACAGGAGATTCAGCTGAGAGACTTCCCCTCGCATCATGGCAGCCACTGTATTCACGCTGCCACCTTCAGCATTCCTGGCAGAGTGACAACAATGATACACCTCCAACCTACTAGCGATGGCCTCAGACCTAATAGCCATGGCCTCCAACCTAGTAGCTTCTAGCTACTAGTAGCGATGCACATGTTCCTAAGGTGCCAGAGATGATATTCTTCGTCTTTGCCGTTGGACGATTGAATCCTCCCAAGGGAAACACATTTTCCCCAAACCTGGAGAGAATGCCAAGTTCTGGGCATTGGACACAGTCATGTAAACTGCTCATTGGTTCAAGTTACACCAGACACCAGAAAGCAACTAACTCTATATAAACACAAACGCACCTGAAAATATATATATATAATATGTAATAGTTCTTTGCTTCTTTGCGCACGGTGCAGTAAAGCGCAGCGCCTATAATAACAATTCGAGAGCTTCCAATGCAATGACCGTGAGTGGATCCAACAACACCTTTCCGCGTGGTTCCACAAATCTTGTCTTTTTTCCCCAGAAGTGGGGAAACGTGTAAGGAAACAAGCGAAAACAATTGGGAAGACAAGTTAGGAAAGGCAGCAGCGGCAAACAAAACGCCCATTACAAACACACAAGTGGGGAGATAAGGAGACAAATAAGGAGACAAAGCAATAGTACGCAAAAAGAACACACGGGCAAACAAGTGGGAAGACATGTGCAGAAAGAAGTTTCGAAGCTTAAGGAGATAAGAAAGGTCTCAACAGAGGAGTTCCCAAAAATGCAGGAACGTCAAACTGCATCACCGGCATCGCGTTGTTCAGCCTCAGGGGTTACAAAAAAGATACCAAAAAGAGCCCCTCGTTCGATATTCAAAATGTTGGAGAGAGATTCGGGGTTTAAAAAAAAAGGAGAGGTTTCAACAGAAGAGAATCTGAACTCGAGTGTTCAAAGGAGTTGTAATATCCTACAACATCCTAAAACCCACTGGTAGACTTCATGCTTGAACAGGAAAGAATCTCTTCATGTGTCTTTGTTAGCGGATTGTTTCTTGAAGGTGGTTGATGAGATGTCACTGTCCTGTAGTGACTGGCACGGTCGTGGTGGCAATGCTCCACTTTTCCACAAAATGTGCAACCCCACCATCCACTTGCCCTTGCCATGTACGTGTTACATGTTGTTGATTGGCACCGCCAGGTCCAACAGTTTATAGCTTCGGTTACCGGTAACGTAATCCGTTTCCCGTCATGTACATGTTCTTGCCACCGGGTCGGAAACCGAACGTGTAGTGCTGCTAATTTGACCATCGCTATAAAACTGAATTTTCGTCGACACGGTGGCCATGGATGTCGATGTTCGGTAGAGACTATGATGATCGGTTTCACATCTAAATTTCCATCATGCCGTCTCCAAAAGCAGGTTCAAGCAAAATGTTGTTGGGGCCAAGTGGGGAGACATGTAAAGAGACAACGGCAGCAGCGGGAGACAAAACGCCGGGAGAGACAATCGGGAAGTGGCAAGACAAGATATGTAAGGAGACAAGTGAGGGGACACATGGCAGAAGCAGCGACCAAAACGCCGATCAGCTATCTGAGGAAAAACATATTATGAAGAGGCCTCACAATCCAAATATGACGGTTCGCTGATCAATCAATAGCTAACATTAACAGGGCAAGGCCACTTAACAGGTATTAACAAATACAAGTAGTTCCCCTGCAAGCCGGCTGCGGAAGTTCCTATAAGAAGAATTTGACCTATAGGAGTGTCCCGGTTCTTTCCACGATGCATGTCCCTCAGTCAGACGCATGCGCTCCGAACTTTTCACCAACACAGCGCCACCTGTGCAAGGTCTGTGCAAGATCAGCAGCTCGCAACAGTGTACTGGGTTAGGTCTATGCCTAAGACAGATCAGCAGCCCACACCGGCGTGCTGAAGCAACTGGGCATGCGCAATCGAAAGTTAAGTGCGGCTGCTGCGGGCACGCGAAGTGGGTGGTGCATTATAGGTCAAAATCATTTCTTCCAACATTTGGTGCGCTTCTCCATGCAGGCGCACAGCGACGCACGCCGATCGACGCTGGTGCGGTTCTCGAGCTACGAAGAGTGGCGACCTGACGCGGGTCACAGCACCGCGCGTCGGGACACAGACCGGCTCTGTGAAACTGCAGCATGGCCAAGGAAAGGCTTTAAGATTTCGTAACCTTTACACCAGCTACACATTTCCAGGAACATCGTCGGGGTGACGTCCGACATTACGCAGAAGAGAGTCGATGTCGTAGGTTCCATCAGTTCCGAGTGGCATCTCCTCAACGTTGATACGAACTGGAGGATCCAGTCTGTGAAAGCCATTCTCCAGATTTACTCCGGAAAATTCCACGCACTCGTCATCGGACAGTTCCGGTGCCTCTGAGTACACCAGCTGGCGGCAGTTGCGCAGATTGAGACGGCTGGTCGGGTGGCACATGCGTGTTTCACACCAACTGTGCGTCCAACACCCGCACTGATCGCATGGCGCCGCACCTGAACGACGACCTGCTTCCTCGTGACTATAGGTGGCAACAGCACAGTACACATCCCACCGTGGCATTCTTCAGTGGCGGCAGGCCTTTCATGCCACACATCGGAGTGGATGGAATCCGAATTTGCATGTAAAACCTGTCATACATAACCCGGCTGCGGAACGACCGGCCTGCACGGCTTGCCAAGGATGCGGTCCACACCAACACACATCCCACCGTGGCATTCTTCAGTGGCGGCAGGCCTTTCATACCACGCATCGGAGCGCATGGCATCCGAATTGGCATGTAAAACCTGCCATGCATAAATGCAACCAAATACTGTCAGTATGAACTGTGCCAAAAAATTTCAACCGTAAGTACAAACTGACCTGCTAACAAAAAAAACATCTGCAACCAGTGTTGTGTTCGACGTCAAGCAACCAAAACAGCCGGGGAATCTAGGAAACGGGCACTTGCAAAACATAACAACAGTACACACCGAACGATCTCTCAGGAAATCTGCACATGGAGGTTCACAAAGCGCTGCGCCTGCCACGAAATCTGCACATGGAGGTTCACAAAGAGCTGTGCCTGCCACGAAATCTGCACCTCGAGGTTCACCAAGCGCTGCGCCTGCCACGAAATCTGCGCATGGAGGTTCACAAAGTGCGCAGGCCTTCCCTGACACACATCGGAGTCAATGGAACCCGAATTCGCATGTCAAACCTGTCATACATACCCCGGCTGCAAAACGATATGGATGCGGTTCACACCAACACATAAAGTCTACAAAGTGCGTTCTCAGCTTCCAGGTCCCCAGATTGCTCCGCGCGCTAAAGTTGTACCACAATGTCGCCAGTTCTCAGCTTCCAGCTCCACAGATTGCTCCGCGTACGCCAGTTCTCATCTTCCAGCTCCCCAGACACTCAGAGTACTAAAGTTGTACTACAAAGTCGCCAGTTCTCAGCTTCCCGCTCCCCAGATTGCTCTGCGTACTAAAGTTGTACTACAAAGTCGCCAGTTCTCACCTTCCAGCTCCACAGATTACTCCGCGTACTAAAGTGGCACTAGAAAGTCTCCAGTTCTCATCTTAGATACTCCGCGTACTAAAGTTGCACTACAAAGTCGCCAGTTCTCAGCTTCCAGCTCCACACATGGTGTGCCTGCCACGAAATCTGCACATGGAGGTTCACAAAGAGCTGTGCCTGCCACGAAATCTGCACCTCGAGGTTCACAAACTCCTGTGCCTGCCACGAAATCTGCACATGGAGGTTCACAAAGCGCTGCGCCTGCCACGAAATCTGCACATGGAGGTTCACAAAGCACTGCGCCTGCCACGAAATCTGCACATGGAGGTTCACTAAGTGCTGTGCCTGCCACGAATTCTGCACATGGAGGCTCACAAAGCGCTGCGCCTGCCACGTAATCTGCACATGGAGGTTCTGTGCCTGCCACGACATCTGCACGTCAAGAAACAAGTGAAAACTCTAATCACAATGGAGGGACGATTCCGAGAATGATCCGACCATGATCCGACCATGATCCGACCATGACCCGAGACCGTCTTGCAACCGTCGTTCCGCGGAGCTACCCCGTCGAGGTTCGGAGCAGCATGGAGGTTCACAAAGTGCTGTGCCTGCCACAACCTCTGCACATGGAGGTTCACAAAGTACTGCGCCTGCCACGCAATCTGCACATGGAGGTTCACAAAGCGCTGCGCCTGCCACGAATTCTGCACATGGAGGTTCACAACGTGCTGCACCTGCCACGAAATCTGCACATGGAGGTTCACAAAGTGCTGCGCCTGCCACGAAATCTGCACATGGAGGTTCACGAAGCGCTGCGCCTGCCACGAAATCTGCACATGGAGGTTCACAAAGTGCCGCGCCTGCCACGAAATCTGCGCATGGAGGTTCACAAAGTGCTGTGCCTGCCACGAAATCTGCACATGGAGGTTCACAAAGTGCTGCACCTGCCACGAAATCTGCACATGGAGGTTCACAAAGTGCTGCGCCTGCCACGAAATCTGCACATGGAGGTTCACAAAGTACTGCGCCTGCCACGCAATCTGCACATGGAGGTTCACACAGTGCTGTGCCTGCCACGAAATCTGCACATGGAGGTTCACAACGCGCTGCACCTGCCACGAAGTCTGCACCTCAAGCTTCACAAAGTGCCGTGCCTGCCACGAAATCTGCACCTCGAGGTTCACAAAGTGCTGCGCCTGCCACGTAAACTGGAGCTAGAGCTATTGAAACTAGAGCTAACTGGAGCTAGAGCTCTTGAAACTAGAGCTACCTGGAGCTAGAGCTATTGAAACTGGAGCTAGAGCTCTTGCAACTAGAGCTAACTGGAGCTAGAGCTCTTGAAACTAGAGCTAACTGGATGATGAGTGGTGTATTATGAGTGGTGTATGATGAGTGGTGTATGATGAGGGGTGTATGATGAGTGGTGTATGATGAGTGGTGTATGATGAGTGGCGTATGATGAGTGGTGTATGATGAGTGGTGTATGATGAGTGATGAGTGGTGTATGATGAGTGGCGTATGATGAGTGGTGTATGATGAGTGGTGTATGATGAGTGGTGTATGATAAGTGGTGTATGATGAGTGGTGTATGATAGGTGTATGATGAGGGGTGTATGATGAGTGGTGTATGATGAGTGGTGTATGATGAGTGGTGTATGATGAGTGGTGTGTGATGAGTGGTGTATGATGAGTGGTGTATGATGAGTGGTGTATGATGAGTGGTGTATTGATGAGTGGTGTATTGATGAGTGGTGTATTGATGAGTGGTGTATGAACAGTTCTGAATGTCCGTAATACGGAAGTTTCGTAAACTAAACTTCCTTTGAATAGAATATCTATTTTGAACAGTAGATGTTTTGCTCATACCGACCTCACATAATCTCAGACGACATGGCCTGGCCACGCCAGTCTAGAGTCGTTTTCAGAATGCTCATGTCATCGGTACATAGTATGACAAACATGAATAGGAAAAAATCGTTGTTGAAAACAAAAGAAATAAACACCATGTCAGGAAGTAGGAACCCCAAAAAAAAGGCTCTCGCTACCTGAACAAGTTCTAAAGGACAGGCCCCACACACACGGAAACACCGCGACCCTGGGACGACTCCGTCTCCGCCTGGGTCTGTAGGCATTCGTGACCGGCGCGTAGGCGGTGCCCGGCGCCGCCGACGTGGGCAGGCCTGGCGCCGACCAGTTACTGTATCAACCCTGGGAGTCCAGTCGATCAAAAGAATGGTCTAACTCGGTGACCCGAGTTAAGACATATGTTTTACTTCAATCGGTCAAAATATCGTCGAACTGGACTTCTAGGGTGAATATACATATATATATATATATATTACATATGTCATATAGGGCCTTAGGCCCTTTTTATCACTGATATATTTCAAGTTTGGAACATATCAATCATCTTCAAGAGCCGCGAAACTCTTTGTGTCAGGTGCCTTTCACACGCTTCTCCCCATCCCTGGGCGGGCTCGCTGCCCGGTCCTGACAAAGAAGCCGCTTTCGTCACTAGCCACAGTCTACCGCAACTCGGATTGGATTGATTGTTTCGCACAAGGCTCTACGCCACACTGTTTACAAGAGTTTGGCAAAGCTGCGCAGATTGATTCAATGCAGCATCCTGCCATTGTCATGTCGTTAGAATGGATCCATGCTTTTCATATTTACATACATGGAGTACAAGCAACCTCAGACACAGCAAAGCATAGCAACCCTATTTACTAGGTTTCAAAGAGCATATGAAAGACCCTCCAGGATATCTCGAACTCAACATGGGACAGGCTCCTCATGCTTCTTTGTGCCGTCTGGCCGCCAGCGCGCAGCGAAAAGGAACGCCTGCGTCTTAGTCCTCCAAGGGTTTGGCGCCATAGTGGTGTGGTGCCGGCCAGTTGCGCACGACTTGTATTGACACGAAGTTAGGTTCTCTTGGCCATCCTACGTCTTAGAAGGCAGCTGGGTCAGCCTATTGACCTCGCAATGTTCTAATTAAAGCAATTAAACAAAGCTTGCTACGTCAGCTACCCTCCCTGCAACAATCATGGAAGTCGGAACATCCTCGTAACTCGTAACCGAACTCGGCCATGCCATCCACGTAACCATGATGTGAACGTAGAGAGGGTATCTATCGGAATCGATACCCACTGAGCGGTTTGGGGATTATCGTTTTTACCGTTTTTACCCCCAAAAAGAGTCGGATCCAAAGCTGTCTGTGTCCACATGCTGTCTGGACCTGTCTTCGCTCAGGAGGTACTCTCCTTTCTTCCCACGAAGTAAGATTGCAGATTGCTTGGGCTTTCGCAGCCAATCATCATGGTATTTTGCCAACCCTTCTCCAAATTGAAGGCGCGTCAGACGACGCAAGCCTCTATGCCAGAAGAAAAAGTCTCCAAACAAAATCAACGGGCAACCTTCTCCGACACAACCATCTGTTAAAGGAGGGACAGCTCAGCTCATATGGTCTGCGTGGGGCGGCTTCCAATTGAATTCCGGCGCTATATATATTATATATTATATAATTGAAACCACAAATTGGCCAGAAGTTGGTGCACTGGACTTGCTGTTCTGGGTCAGTTCTGGGACTAAGCAACTAGGAGCGATCGGACGAAACGAACGGAGCATTTCGGGCATCGCTACTAGGACTAGGAACAAGGACGCTACGAACGGGGCGACCCTGGCCTTACTACGAACGGAGCGATCGGACACTACGAACATCATCCTCAAAGCGGGCGTCGAGACGCCCCGTGCGCCGCAGGAGCGGCTCCTGGCTCCAGCACCCGTATCTTCATGACGTCCTTCGACTACTGCCGGTTTGAACTCCTCGCCAGGAAAGTAGAGGGTTTAGGGGTGCAGCTCAATTCTGTTGCATGTCATCTAAGTTTGTTGTGTCTGCAGCGATGTTCCTGCATGCGTGCCAAACTACTCATAGCATATCTAACCCAACATTGCAAACTTGATGTGCTGTTCGCGGCAGAAGTTGCCTCAACTTTAGCTTGAATCCTTTCCCGCGTGTAGATCTGCACATCTACTGCACAAAACAAACTCACCAAATTCATTCTTTCAGCGTTCTTACTAATGTAATTCACCCCCAACCAAACCCTTGAAATCCTGGTTTTCCGCTCGCCAGAATAGCATAGCAAGTGCTTTAGGCCAGACACATGTCCATGCAAGAGATTGCTTTGGTACATTCACACTTCGTGCAGAAATGCGAGAAGATCCCTCCAAACTCACCGAAACAGCTGTGACCCCCGGACCCCTTCGGTCAATCTGTCAGAATCTCCATACACATGCTTCCTAGTAGTAAGGCCAGGAGCCCCTAGTAGCGTCCTTGCTCCTAGTAGCAAGGAGCCCACCATAAAACGCTGTTCCAAGGCTCCATCTTCAGGACAGGATCACCTGTGTACCTTCATTTGACGACATTCAACGAAGCCATAGACGGAACTTGAAAAAAAGAAAACAGCGGTTTTTTTGGGCGGTTCCGTCGCTTCGCTGGGCCACTTGTACACCGTGATCTGGTTGCCCTCGTTCATGCGCGGCGCCACGGTCGCAGCCATGAAGTGCCTCAGGTTCCGGTGGGAGCCGCGGAGGCAGAAGCCAGTCCCCGTGAGCTTCGAACCTTTTGAGAACCATCCACCCCTCCGATTTAAAGAAATTAAGAGTCAATACTGATTTAAAGAAATGAGTGGCCAATGCTCTCAGCTTCAAAGGCCATTCCCTCTGCTTCCAACACAATGATTGATCACAACACAAAGGACTGGATTCACTGACTCCTTTCGAAGCCGACATGCTTGGATTAAGAATGAGCGTAGATCAAATGGCAGAGCCGATAGCTACAAAGTGTGGGTATGCCCTTCACAAATTAGACGGGATCAAATCAGGATCTAAAACCAGACATTGCCAACTCCAATCTAATCGGCAGCTGCAAGGTGCTCCAACAACCTTACACCTTTCTCAGGGTGGCCTCCATCATTGCAGCCCATTCACCGTCCATCCGCGAACCAAGAGCAGTCCACAGTCAAGGCAGCCCTCAGGGATGCAACCGTTTCGTCCTTGCTGCGATCCTGGGATCGAGCAACCAAGGCTGGTGGGCGAAATTCGGATGAATCCAAAGATCGACGAGGCAAACTGTGTGGCTTGGGAGAAGCCAAGGCAACGTCTGACGGTATTTGTCTGGTCTGGGTTTTGTCCAGGTCTTTCACTTTCAGCTTCAGACGCGGAATCTGGCTGATGAGGGAAAGTGAAATCGCAAAGAAATGAAATGGCCATGGTATTGGTCGTGAATGAGAATCGCGAAATCACCTGTATCCAACCTTTGAGGGACTCAGACAAGCTTCGTAGAAGTCAAGATCTCCTGGGAGTGTTCCAAATCCTGCCACTGCCGCAAATCTGCCAAAAGGATTCCTCAGGGCAGGCTGCATCATGCTGTACAATGGTAAGCCGCGTCTATACAAGTCATCGAAGACGAGGACATTGCTTGAAGCCCCGGTTTTCTGCAGGAAGTGGACGGCATAGGCCCCTACAATAGGATATGATATTATGATCATTGTCCACAAAAAGGTGGTGCCATTAACTTCCGTGAAAAGAATTTCCTCAAAGAGTACTTCGTGAAGCTGCTTGACTCTGCATGAGACCCGCGCGCTATGAAAAAATGCTCTCCCTCAGAGACGCGTCGTCGTCTCACCAACCGTGGTTTTTCACCCCCCCCGTTGGTGCCAACCCACCGCGGTGTTGACGAAACGCGTGGGGCTGCTTGACGGTCCACGCGTGGGGCGTTTCAAAACCATTCCTTTTGCTTGGTCATCTGCCTTCGTTCTTTCATTTCGGCGTCCCAAGGCCGTGGGCCGGCCGTTCGCACCAACGACGCAGCCGCTTTCGTTCTTCTTCCACCCCCCCCCGGTGTTCGCTGAACGCGAGCGGTCTGGTCGTCTGGGCACCACTTGAGAGTGTTCCTCTTGGAGTTCCCCAGGCTCTTCTCCAGCTTCCCTGCCCAACATGGACATTCAGGAGTAGGCTCCAGGCTCATCTATTGTTTATATTATCCTGTGATCTCTTAAAGGTAGTTTAGTAGACTTCACAGGTTCTTACACCTCAAAACCAACTCCGGGCTTCGCCCCGGCTTCATGTTGCTGCACATGAAGGGTACGGGTTGATGTGTTTGGGGAGGGAGAGGATGAAGAGGGCAGGGGTGGAAATCAACAATGCGCCCTCATTCCTGGGCCTAGCAATACTGTGTATGAAGTTCTGGATGACTTAGATGACTAGCTGCATCTAGCTGGATGTCAAACCCAAGCCGTCCTGTGGTCCCATTGTAGAGGTTCACAGCAGCTGGCAGCATTCCCACAATCACCATGAATTCATTGCTCGTTGGCGACCAGGCCAAGTCCTGGCTGTGAGTGCCGCTTGCGTCGCATTGGCGACAGTGACGACACTGCTTTCTCAGCGACTTTTGAACACGGGAGAGCGAGGCAGTTCTGCAAGCAGGTTAGGGGCCATCGGACACTTGCTAGCACTTGCAAGCCATGGGTCTGGAAAAACACCGTCGCACGTGGTCGACCCAAAACCGACCGCTTCACTGCGTTTCTCGCAGAACACCACCGCGGTGGAACGCAAAGCTGTGTTGCTTGGCCTTCTCTTCGGACAACGCTCCCCAAACCGGCGCACCTGCACCAAGCCCTTGTCCGCACCACAGACCTCTGCTTTTTTCCGGTCTTCGGGCTTCAACCAGTAGAGGTAGGTGCCTCGGTGTTCGCCACACGGCCGTGGGCCGGCGAGAAGACCCGATGTATATTGTGGTGGACGGTCAGTTGAGAGGAGAGTGCTGTGGCATGCTGTTTTGTATCTGACAAAATGTCTCAAAGACTGGGATGTGCACCACAAATCCAATTTCAATATCCTTTATGCAACAATACTGAGAACTTGCCAGAATCTGCCTATTCTCTTCCTCTCGGGGGATACCCTCTCCGCAAAAATGGTGGTACGCTCATAAGCTGATAATTAATGCATGATAATGCTACAATCCTCTTCTACTATCTTGCTTCAGTGGCTTCCAGATCGATTTGGACACGAGTTGGCTTGAACTCGTGCTTCAGCAAAGGCTCTCCCAAAGTAGGAGTTGCCCGTCTCGTCTACATCACTCATGGCCTCGTCTACAGGAGATTCCAGGAAACAGCGTTTTCTTGCTGATTTGGACGGGAAACTAACGCAAAGCCATTGAGGTTCAGGTTCTTTTGGCCCATCTTAGAAGGCAGCTGGGTCAGCCTAGCAATTAATGTTCTCATTAAAGCCATGAAACGGATTGCTAGGTCAGTTGTACAAAGCTTTGCTCATTTTCCCAGCAAGCTCACCGCTCGTTCAATTGTCATTAGAGCGTCCCCTATTCGTCCCTGAACCATTACTTTGTCAGATAGCTTTAGCAATCCACTATTTTACAGGATTCGCATGGAGTTGCGTGCATGTGCCCAGTCGATGGTCTCACAGGCACGCATTCAACCAAGGGCAGCTACGGATGTGATCTCTCCCTCTCGAACAACGTTTTTTGAGACGCACAACAGCCAGCAGTCATGTTGATATGATCCTTCTCGAGATGCTGTTCATGAATATGTTTGTTGTTTCACGATGTTGCTGGACCTTTTCAGGATTTCAGCTGTTCAGAGCTAGGTCATAAGTTACCGCATCACCGACCTACTCCTTGCGTCCCCTCTGCTGTGTGTGTGTGCCTCTCTCCTCTCAAGCACTGTTTTCATAACCATTCATAACGTGTGTATCGGACTCATGACTACACTTCACCTCTACAGAACCGAGCACGTGCATTGACCTCCTTGAGTGAAAAAGAAGAACGTGCCGATGCTCAGGCTCTTCGCGGTCTTTCGGTTGCCTTTCAACTTTCTCGGTCTTTCGGTTGCCCAGATCGGTGTTTCCAGAAAAGACGGCTCTGCTTCCTTCGCTTGCGGTGCGGGTCACCAGGTCACCCAGGTCCATAGGTCCGGACGGAGACCCAAACCGGGTCCGTAGTCTTGACCTTCTTGATCTGCTCTCGGTTTTTGTCCGCATGTCCACCGAAAGCCGGCCGGGGCGGAGGTGCCGAGAAAAGTACGCGAACAAAAACGCTTCTGCAAAGACCAAAGACACGAGTACTTAGTTCATTTGCTGATGCTGCTTCTCTTTAAGAACCGTGTTCTGGTTGAGCTATTTCCGAGGATCTGATGGCTAGTACACTAGTTGGTGTAGATGCCCCAGTGGGCACTGAATGTCTGACAAGTCTCATTGGCCAGCAAAGCAGAACCTTCAAAGTTCCAAAGCATCTGGCAATCCTTCACCTGGCTCTTGCGTTCGAAAAGGCTGGAAAGGCAAACCGGCGCCGAGGAGAAAGAACACGGGAAACCGTTCTGATGTCAGAACCTCCCAAGCTTGCCTTCTTCGGCAGGTTCAACTCCATCACCAGCTTGGAGGGCTTGCTAAGGTGGTACAAAGACACTCGAGCGACCATGCCTTGGCCGGAAAAAGATGGAAAGCACTGGCAGTCACTGAAGACATCGACGCGAAAACCGGAGCCCTCGACGCGAGTGCCGAGACCGCTGCTGTTTTCATCCGCACGACACGACTCTTTCCGGTTTATGGGTAAGTGACTAAACACCACTGTTCAACTCACGGCTTGATCCCGACCATGCAGAATGGTCAAGTCTCAAGACACTGCAAATGCTTGGAAACAGCATTCTTCGACTGAAAAAAAGAACACCCAAACCACTTGCCCCGGACCCAAAACCCAATCGTTGTCGCACCCCAACACGCATTTGTCCGGTCCGAAGCTCCGAAGGTCCGCGGATGGCACCACTCTCCCGCTGTCGTCGCCTAACGTCTCCAAGGCACTGGCCTGTGGCACGTAAACGGCCACCCAACACGCATCGCGCTGCGGCGCCGGGGCGATCAGGAAGTTGGCCTCGGCCGGTCGTGCGCGGGAACGCGGGGCGTCCTCCATCCTTGGTCGGGATGGAGTACAGAACGAGCTTGGTCAAGGGAGAAAATACACAAAGAATGTATATCATCTTTTGGTCAAGGGCCCCTAGAAGAGGCGTAGACTGGCTCGAAACCAGCTTGGAGCAAGGTTAGCACACCTTTGAACCCCTGGAAAACTTTCCAACTAACTGTCCAACTAACTTCAAGTGCCACCCGTTGGCTCACCCGGCTTGAACATTCCCCTCCAATGCAGCCAAACTGCGATATTGGGCTCTGGAATGACCCTCTCGTCATCCTGGCCACGGTCAACTCCATTCTGTGGGCGTTGACTCACAAAATATACACATGCTATGGCCAGATGGCATCAGATACGGCTCCTGTCCGGTGCAGGTGCCTAGCTCGATGATCTCCAAGCTCTTCCAAACTACGCAGCAAACGCGATTGTGTGGTGCATATAGCATCTGAACGTCATGGAAAACAACACCTCCATGTCTTCAGACGACCATCCCTCGCAACGTGTGCCGTGCTTACGTGTGCCGTGCAGCCGGAAGCACTCCGGATGCGGAAAAACGGACCAGCCGTGCAGCTGTCTCCCCAAAAACCTTGGCATCCACTGGCCAAGAAAGGAAAAAACAAAGCACCGCCCCGTTCCTTGCGACCCAAAAAGAAGGACGGGCGGAATCCATGAAGAAACTAGAGGCAAAATGGTCGGAGAGGGTCGAAATGGATACGTGTAGTATCACACATGCGCTCCACAAACCTGTGCTGTGACAGTATGGAGCGCAACAAGACAAGCTAAAAGGAACTCCTCCAGCAAAGGCTGCAGCATAGGATAGAAAACTATACAAACTGTCATGATCTGTCGTTTCGTCTTCCTGTGGACCGAGTCTCGACGAAGTCCGTCCAACGGGAGTCGTCGAGTTGGGTCGAGACCCGTCCACCCGGTCGCCTCCTGTTCGGTGGGCGTCTCCAAATCCCCATCATGCACCACCTGAGAAGAGGCCAGGCAGAGGAGAGCGAGGTTTCGCGGGTCGACTCTTAGATGAATCAAAAAGAAACACACACACACACACACTTGAGATAAGTGCTCCGTAGAGCTGAGCTTGTGTTTCACGGTGAGCATTAGCACACTCTGGTGGCACCTCTTGATTGTAAAACCTCTTGAGGCTTGCGGGGGTGAGAGTCCACATGACTCATGACTGTGGCATTGGCTGTGGATGGCTGTGGCATCTGAGGACCAAATACTTTTGCGCGAAGTGCAATGACTTGTCAGACTGCGAAGTTTGCTGATTGGAACTTGACTTGGTCGGATCATTGGACATCCGCCGGAGCTGCACTCTCGCAGACCGTCTTCATGTCTGTTCAAGTAGCAATGGAACCGATTTTGGTTGAATGGAGTTCTGCTTTTCAAGCGACAGGGTCTGATGGTGAGACCTTTTGGGGCTACAGTGTAGAAGATGCGTTGATCATACCAGATCTTTTCTATTGACCACCCATGTCAGCATTGGTTCTCTGTTGCCCCTGTCTTGTATATCAATGGTGTTTGGGACTCCTACTGTTCCAAGAGTCCTTCATAGCTGCCTCATGCAGCTTTTCTCGTTCGTTCCCCAAACTGGAAAACATCTTCTTGTGGTTGCTGAGTTGCTTGCCGCGCACCCGACTGAGACCCCAACCACACCCACGCCGGGCACGAGCTCGAGGCAATGGGATTCATCTGGCGTCCAATTGATGAGCATCACCTGGCAAGACAAAAAGATTGCATTCCAGCTGTTTTGCGTCGTTCCGTTTACTCACCACACACAAAAAGAATCAAAAGAGTCGAACTGGTTGGCTGAAGAGGGTCGTTCAAGTCTCTTCAAAAGTTGTACAAGTACACGGAGTGTGTTTGTTGTGTGCCGGAAAGTGGTGTCTGTGCTTTTTGGATCATCACTAAAAATATTATCTCGATCTATACCGTCTATATCTACTGCTTAGTTTTTGAGGACCCCAAAGTATCTCAAAGCTTGAAGCCCAGTGGCTGGAAGGGCACCACTGGTGTAGTGATTCAGAGTGCAAGAGCGGATCCGCTCCTTGGACGACGCAGAAAAAAAGACGCGAAGGTCACGTGGCAGAAGCAGAAATAAGGCGCGACACGACGCGTTTAGCGATGACGAAGACATCGAAGTGGAGTTCACCACCCACCTTGCTACTAGTAGCTTCTTGTTACTAGATGTTACTATATAGTAGCTATTTGCTCCTAGTAGTAACGCCCTTGTTACTAGTAGCGATGCCCTTGTTCCATTTGTGAAGGAAAATAGTCTTCCGAAATCGGGGCCATGTACCATACAGTAACCCATGTGAGTGATTCAGAAACGGCCGCATGCTCTGAAACGGCCGCATGACCGTGCAAAGCCAGCTGGATCCAATTTTACTGCTTTCTGCTCCTGCTCTCGAGGAGGAACCTTGCATATGTACAGAACACTTGCTTGGCTACTGTCACCTGTGGTTCTCTGGGATTCGGTCAGAAATCACAGGGCAAATTCGCTACAAATGGCAGGGCCCACGCGGAACATTGGTATGAGTCTGCGATCTTGCTGCTATTGATTCATGCATTGGAAATTTGCTGTATGGTTTATGTCAAAGTCGCGGTCTTCGGTGGGCCACTGAAGACAGCCTCAGCATCTGCATCTAACAAATCCCTATCTGCTGGAGGTGGCACCTCAGGGATAGCAGAACTCTTTGTCGCTCAAAAGTGGAAAGCTGCCAAACAACCTGCATGTTTACTATCATGAATTCAACACTACAGAAATCTTTGGCTTATCATATCCAACAAAATCAGGCATGTATGCAGGCGCCATGAAAGGGCAAATCAGTCCTCGTTTTAACTGAAGCGCCAATGTGCTCGCTCTGAACAATTAACATAACATACTCCTTTACCATTCAAAGGGCCACTTTCCTGCTTTCATGGCCACTTCCGCTGGGCTGTAACAATGGGTGTGGCCGCTTTAAGTTGCGGCATTGAAATGACATGCCACAACGTTGTGACGTTCAATCGAAACTTGACTCTCCGGCCTAAGCTTCGACGCCGCATGAGCCGCCACGGCGCTTGTCTGCCACCTTTTTCAGATTCGGCGTAGGAGGTAGACACAGTGGTCACTCAAAAGGTCGATGATGGTATTTTTCTACTTGCATAGCTGCTTTTTTTCCTGATGAACATGCAAACAGTTTGCTTCAGTGTCTAAAGGTCCCAACAAAATCATGCTGTCCGACTGCGGCCACGCTGTCCGACTCAAGGCTCCGGGATGTCCCACCTTCCATGTTGTGGTTGGCCCAGCAGGTGTAGGGGACCTGCTGGAAGCGACCAGAAATCACCCGGCGAGTTTGGTTGGTCCGCTGTCATTATATCGAGTGTACAAGGGCCCTACCATCGTGGGGGTGAGGGTTGGGGACCATATCATAAGGTGCGGCTAGGCCCATGAGTGTACCATACGTCCTATGACCAGAACACCTGTCGGTTTTTGCACGGTTTGCACCTGCAGTTTCACCCACCGCTGGGTGTCCACACGTGGCACAAGTCCCCACGAAGTTGGCAAAGTCCTCCGAATTGTCCACGGCCGCCGCCAAGTAGCTGTGCACGGTTGGGCCTGCACCTGACCACCAATTGTGGTGTGTGCACCTGACAGCCTGTGGGGTCTGGTTCTCAAGTGATTGAAAGCCCATAAAATGCCCATGATGCCTTTCAATCCCTTTGAGAACCCACACTGAAAGAGCAGGGCACGTGGTGCGAAGTCAAAAAACATCTTGAAGGACGATGATGCATATTATGTTATATATATATATGTGTGTGTGTGTATTGAGGTATATATGTGTGTGTATGTGTATGTACAAATGGTATAAAACCTCATGGGATTTCAACAGATCCTGGCCACACCTGCCGTCATGGGTGCACATCCAGCATTCGGCGCTGCATGGATGTATGCCTTCCTGCGCGATACGCGTTGAAGTCTGCGGCCCTACTTCAATGCTCGATACGTAGTGATCGTTCGGCCCTACTTCGGATTCGGACACGCCCTTGATCCAAGAAAAACCCTTTTCGTTTGCGGTCTGCCGATCACGACACATTGACACAAGCACACACAGCGCTGTCCCGGCACCGCACGGTGCATCAGGATCCCAAACCACAGAGCCAGGGCCCACCTCGCCTGAAGCACCACTGCTTGTGACTTTCGGTTGACGCAGCAAACGGTGGGATCCACTGTTTGGCTGATGTGATTAATGATTAATGTGACAAGCAAACTTGAAACCATTTGAAGGCAAGGGTCAGGTAAAGCCACTGCCATCAGATTCAAAGCATTTGCCACTTAGTCCATTGACCTGGCAGACTTCGCACGGCATGCGTGGCGCATGTGGTCGTATCATATGCCTGAAGCCTCTTGGGTCGGTGAAAGGCCTTTAATGGCTGAGATACTTTAACCAAAGCCCAGGGCCCCAACACAACGTCCAAAGTTTCATGGGGCAAAGCTCTCTCCGATTATCCATAAAAGAACATGGTACCTTTCTTCCCGAATGCGTAGCGAAGGGTTCTCGTGTAACTCTGGGGGTCTGGGGGTAGAGCCTTGTTCGCGACGTGTTGTTTCTGCGTTCGCAACCGTCCGCAACCGTCCGCAACCGTTCGCAACCGTCCGCAACCGTCCGCCGCCGTTCGCAGTAGGGCGCTAAGGCCGTTGCCATTGGGGGAAGCTTTTGGAGAGTGTTTCGGATGAAAACGTGAGACGTGTCAGATTCGTGTCAAACAGCGTGGAAACGTGTGGAAATGTAAGATGTTGAAGTATGGAGGTTCTGAGTTCACTGCGCAGGCACAGCGTTTTGTGAGATCCGCAGTTTTCTGTGCAGTTCCATTGGGATTAGCGTTTGGAGAGTGGTGTTTTTGGGGTGTTGGATGTGGCCGTGCAGTTGGGGTTTGCGGTTCAGGGCGTTGTGTCGAAGCTCTGTTTTCGTGACAAGTCTCAGCTGAAATGGCGATTTTGGTGGATGGGAGTGTGCTCAGGACGGGTCAAAATCATTCCAAACGTCTGGTGTGGTGCAAATTTTGTTGAAGCTCACATGACATGATATTGTAGGTTGTGAGTAGTGGTAGAGGTGAATGTCGCTGTGACATTGGGATTGGCGTGTGAGCGGGTGTTGCTTGCAGGGACTGGAATCGCAAAACTGCCTGGCAGGGCTGCGTGATGTGTGCGCTCCGATGGGTGTTTCTGCTTGACTTTTGGAGGAAGTCTCGTACGAAACGCTTGTTTTGGAGACTTGACGCGTGACTTTTGGAGGAAGTCTCGTACGAAACGCTCGTCTTGCAGACTCGAAGCGTGACTTTTGGAGGAAGTCTCGTACGAAACGCTCGTTTTGACAACATCCGCATGACTTTTGGAGGACGTCTCGTAGGAAACGCTTGTAGCGTATGGGCAGACCGTGTGGCGAAATTACGCGCGTGATGGGAAGTGTGTTTGCGTGGCGCCAAGCGCGAAACGCGCTGGTGTAAACGCGGCGTGTCGCTGATGAGCGGGATGATTGGCGGTATCACATGATATGTTTGCTTCTAGTGTGTGGGCAGACCGTGTGGCGAAATTACGTGCGTGATGTCGCAGTACCATTGGGATTTGCGCGGCCTTGGTGGGAAGTGTGCTTGCGTGGCGCCGAGCGCGAAACGCGCTGGTGTAAACGCGGCGTGTCGCTGGTGAGCGGGATGACTGATGGTATCATGTGATATGTATACTTCTAGTGTGTGGACAGACCGTGTGGTGAAATTACGTTCGGGATGTCGCAGTGCCATTGGGATTTGCACAGGCGTGGACGGGAAGTGCGTTTGCGTGGCGCCGTGCCACTATGGGGCGCGAAACATGGTGGTGTAAACGCGGCGTGTCGCTGGTGAGCGGGATGATTGGTGGTATCGTGTGATATGTTTGCTTCTATAGCGTGTGGACAGATTTTTCCGAGTGTGACGCTTTCTGATTCTAGTGTGTTTGCTTCTATAGTGACATGTTTGCTTCCTGCCAATTTTTCCGAGAACACGGGGCTCTGCGCGTTTGCCGCCGAAGCTGGTGGAGGCGGCGATTGCTTCTTCTTGTCCACGGCGGTCGCGCTGATGCAGGCGCGAGGCGTCCACCCACGACTCTTGAAACTTTTCACTTCTGATGACGTGGTGGACTGGGACGACCGAGTCACGGTCGCGGCTGCTCTCCGCAAGATTGTCGGGCGACACATGCGTGCCAAGACACCAAAGGCATTCTTGGACTTCGTCGCCGGATGTTTGACGAGGGAAGCTGCGGGGACGTGGCTGGATGACTGGTTCTCCTTTTGCTGTCTTGAAAGATGCCAATGATGTGCTCGGAGCAGAAGTGCTAGTTCGCTACAAAGAAGGCGACAGCTCCGTGACGAGGAGCAAGAGAGTGCGTTCTGGCGCTGCGGCCCTGGTGTCTCTGCAGGGTGACGTGAGTGCTTCTCTTGAAACTTGCGGCAATACTCATTGGGCGACAGACGTCGACGTTGTTGCTTTGACCATAGAGCTCAGTCTTGGCTTCATCATTGCTGGAAATACTTGGACCCAGACGTCTGCTGTTCGAGGCCCTGTTGACACATCCAAAAACGTTTAGAATTGTAATTTTAATTCCTTCTGACTCGTGTTTACGAAAGACCCATGAGAATGTTGGAATGATTAGATGACCTAGGATAGTTTTACTCTCTGTATTAGGTGGACGGTTATCATTTATTTTCAAGTGCTTATTTTGGATATTTTGGGACAATGCCATTGTTTCTTTCGTGATGTGGATCTGCCACAACCTTTACGCCAGTGCTTGATTTGAATGCAAAACGAAGACCCTTCATGAATGCGACGGAGCTTGGTGGTGAAGTCCCCAGCACATGCTGCCTTGGTGGTGGAGTCCCCGGCACATGATGTCCAGCACCGAGCCGGAGCGTGAAAAAAAGAATTTGATCGACTGTGTCTCTTTCTGTACACATTTGATTGACATACGTGTTTGCATTCGGGTTCGTGGGCTCCATATTGTTTTCTCAATGGTCACCCTCTCCGCGCCCTCGTCCGGTGTGGGTGTGTCTCACCTCAATACAGGTTGCCAAGTCACGCTACCTAAGGACTTGGGCCCAGCCAGCACCAGCGTGGCACTGCAGGCCTTGAACACCACACGTTTTGAGAGATTCTCTCTCCACGATTACTTTGGACTCAAATATCCATACAAGAAATAGACCAATCGATTCAAAAGCCAAAACAAAAGTTCGTGACCACCCGCTAGATCCAAGCAAACCGAGGCTTCCAATCAATTTGCCGTTCGCTTGCTGGTGGTCAGATTCTGAATGCTATGCCTTCAATATAGTTGGATGGGGAAAGAAGCATGTTGCATGTGGTGGAACCCATAGAAGATTGGCATCAAATACGGGCTCGAGCCTCATGATGGAATCATTCTGTCTCTTCTTCCATGAGTTGAACCAGTTTCAGGTGCTAGATGTATGTGTATATATATATATGAATATGCATGTGTCCAACAAAGACCGAGATTCTCGCTGTGAAATGGTCCGACAAAAAGCAACACCGGAGTCTGGTGCGCTCCCGTCTCGGAGTCTTGGAGCCAGAGCCTGGACTGCCGAGGGGAATGCCCTGGGTTGTTTGATGCATTTAATAAGTTTGTAGTAGTGATTGATCATCCGTAATACTATATATCTATAGATTTTAACACTATATATATCTTATCCATAGTTTTTAACTATCTTATTGATATAAGTTTAGTTGTCGCTTAGCGCTCGCATGAGCCAAGTGTCAGCGATGAGCACTCGCATGGCGTCTGGATCAGATCTTGAACACGAAGGATCTGCGGAACATGAATTTGCAACAAGCAGTCATCCCAACATGGAAGGTTGACATCCCGTAGAGCCGTAGAGAGGAAACTGATTATTCTAAGGGTTGAACCCGGAAGAACCCCCGGTTTTGACCCCCCAAAACAAGCGGAGCGCTCACTGGTGGTTCATAGCCCGGCTCAGGTCGCAGGTTCATTCCCCCTCTTCGCCTCGCTGACACGATGGGCGAGGTACTCCTAGGAGTTTCTTCATGGCGACCCCTCCTTCCATGCTACACCAAGCTTCACCAGCACGCTTGCCCTGGAGCGCCCACACCTCAAACGCTGAAGTGGAATGCATGGAATAAATCCCACCCACCATCACCCAGCCAGTAAGGCAGATTTGTTGCCTTTGCCAAAGTCCTGGTCCCCCGTCCATGGTGACTTTGCATGTGACTTACTGTATCGGCTGACATCGGCTCGGCGGCTCCGCTCGGCTCGGCATACAAGTGGCATGCACGTTTTCCGGGTATTGAGGATCCCACTTCCTCAGCGTTCGAGAAGATTTTCCGCGGCAAAGCTGAATCAAACAGCCGTCAATGCGCCTCGCCGAAATCATAGGTTCAACATGCGAAGAACAGGAAGTGGACGATGCGACCATACGCCATGACCATCTTTGAAGATCATGCACCCCTCAACACAGAAATTGGAATCTTGCAAGCCCACGGAAAAAGAGATTCATTTTGCGGGCCTGACATTCGCAAGGAACCACCTCCAGTATGTGAGACGTCAGGTGCGAGTGTGCAAACATCTGGGGGCAAACATGTTCCTTCACCCCTTCCCCACTTCATATAGTCCAAATGTGTGCAGCCACTCAGCAGCCAAACAGTATGTATTTTCCCACAAGCAATGTCAACACAGCCAAGCAGCTCGTAGGTCACCAAAAAGTTCTTCAGTGGTGAGAAGTACAAAGCTCGCACTCCGCCCGCTCGACCTTGCACATCCGGCGCCACCTGAGCATAGGCACGTGCTCCCCGCGGAGCGTGCTCCGCCATGAGGAAACATCGGTTTTCAATTCAGTGAACCACAGCAAAGCACAATGAACCAACTGTGGTCCCAAAGTTAGAACGACTGCCGTAGCGGTCGGTAACAAATGTATCCGTTCTCCGAGGTCTGCCCGACCGACAAAAATACGAAAGGATGAAAGCATTGCGACTTCGGCAAATCAGAAACTGAAACTTGTGCAACAGTTGGAATTGAAACAAAAAACTCCGTCAAACTCTGCCAAGCTACAAAAGAAATATTACAGTAAAAAGCACATGATCGGAGAGGGCTCCTCCCCGTGTGTTTTGGACTCTTTGCTCATATCGTCCCAACCTTCTCAAGCTCCTGCACCACCTTGTACCGCTTATTGGCATCATAGACCCGCACGCCCTCGTCGCAGACTGAGGCCAAGAGGGCTCCATCGTCACCTCAGGTCTTTAGGCCCATGAAGCCTGAAGCCGGCTGGGAGGTTTCTTCCGCCATAGGACGCCCGCAAACACCCGGTGAGAAACATGGAGCTCAGGGTAAGCAGGATCTTGAACAAAGGTAGGGATCCTGCTCCTCCCCCTAGGTCTGTGAACAAAGGTAGGGATCAGCAGGATCTTTGTCTCGGCGGGAGGAGTCTTGCAGTGTCCAGTGAAGAGGCCAAAGGAGAGCTCTGGAGCTGGGTCCTTCGGTAAAACATTCGGGACGTGGAAGGCAAGGTCACATAAGAGCTGGTTCACAAACGCGCAGTGTTGACTGACAAACAAGCTGGCGGCATCAAAGGAGAGATGTATGGAAAAAGGAAGGCCACGTTCTGAACCTGGAATGACATCAGTGGATCAGACCTGCCAAACCTGAATAGGACCCGAAAAGCTTGATCCTCAGAGGCATCTCGATACGTCCTGCTTGTGAAAAGTTCGACTTCTTGCATATATTCTTTTTTGACCTATACAACCCTAAAAAATGAATTTTAAGAAGTGAAGCAAAAAACATGCAAAAAGCGATGATCTCCACAGCTCTTCAAGCACTCAGTTCAGACCCAGCTACTCCAAGCGAAACCAAAGGCATTTGGTGGACAGGGCATCGACCTGGACAAACGCGAGATCTCCAGCTTCTGTTTGGAAGACAGGCTGGCTTGTGAGTCTGGATATAAGGCTATCCAATCCTTTGGCGTTCGCGGGGGTGCGATCCCTTCTCTGCGATGGTTTGTGGGAGGCTGCTGAAGCTCTAAAAACAAGACACGTGGAAACTACTAGCAAACATAGTAATACTTTCAGAACCATCGAAAGAACAAGGGAGATTTAACACGAGGGAAGTGTGCGCTTGGACCTGCTCTACGTTTGAAGTGGTTTAGCTTCAGGGTACTCTGAGCAGTCATGGCTTCAAAACCTTGGGTAGATCTGAGCGGGCTGGTTTTAGGCTACCCACAGCATGTAGTGAACATGTTCCAGCTGTAATGACAGTTCCATGCTGTTATTTAACTCTAGGTAACTTTAGGCTTGTTCTACTCCAATTTGGGGCTCATGTTCACTTGGGATCCCATGTTGGGTGGCTCTTCTTCCGAGCTGCTCGACCCTTATTTTCGTTGCGACGAAGCTGGGTGGGTCAGGAAAAACACCACACTGGGACATTCGGAGAAACGCACACCCGGTGGCTTTCGCATCGTGCCTTGTGTCAAACTCTGGGAAGCCTCCAAACTGCCTGAAACTGGACACCAAGCTGCGCAAGTACCTTTACATTGCGACCATCGGTGCATTTGCCGGTGCTCCAATCGCCACCTTACAAGGACGGACTGATGGAGCCTTCCCACCCTGCTCCAACCCACAATGCATAACAAAACGTCAAGTCACATCAAAGAGAGGAGCAAATCGCAAGTCTTCCTGGAAACTCGAGTTTCAATGTGAGGTTGCAGTGATCACAGGAAATCCTGTTTCTTCACTGGAAGGGAAATACCAGCAGGACGGAGTTTCTGAGGCATCCCGACTCTCACCACTCTCCTCAATTTGGGAAGCATCGTAGACAATGAGGCCATCTTTGGTCGCAGCAACAAATTCCTCAGCATCTTTGGTCGCACCACCGCAGGAATCAATACTTGAATGGATGTATTCGGACATCGAGCGGGTCAAGCCGTCTAAATGATGTGCAAATGAGGACAAGTCGAATGAATCTTGGGCCAGTTGGGCAAGTGAGCACCACTGCTTCGATGATCGCGCACGCCACGCAAGGACCACCCACCCACGCTATGAACTTCCGATCCCCGATTCACAAAGGGTTTCGGCCAGGAGTGGCACTGAACACTGATCAATCATGAATCAATCCTCATCAATCAGCTAGTCTCACACAACTCTCAGCAAATCAGTGAGCCCTTGTTATCCCTGCTTCTCAACTATTGAAGAACAGCCCCTAGCAGCCAAGTGGCCATGGCCTGTGGGGTCGGGACGTGTTCACGGCCCGAACCCCCTTTTTTCGACCGACCCAAACGGCCCCAGGTCACGCGGCGCGGCGCCGAACAAATGATGGAAGAATCGAGGGGTCGATGCCGGTAATACATACCATACCATACCATACCATACCATTACATAACATAACATAGTTACATATGTATCGTTATATAGTTCTATATATAGTTACATGTATTACATATAGTTATATATTATATATAATGACATGTATATTATATATCATTACTGGTTGTTCACCAGGAGGTCTATATCCACTCCGGTCCGGCAGGCCACCGTGAGGTCGAGGTGTCTCTTCCTCCGACTGGGTGACTGGGCGTTGGCTGGGGGTCCGTCGGCGTGGCCAACAACCACTTTGAATTGTTTTGTTCTCGACAGTCGGATGTGATATATTGGGATGAGATGTTGGCCTGCAAGAAGACCCCAGTTGGGTTCAGTGCAGCTGGTCGCCCCAGAAAGAACCTGTTACTGTTACACAGCTCGGTCGCCTCAGCCGAGGTCTTTCATCGACCCCGGAGACCCCTCATTCGGGCGGGCGTCGGCCAGGCATGGAGCGGCCTGGGTCTGTTTCTGGGTCGTTCAAGGAGAGCAACAAAACCGAGGTACATGGAAATACCATCAAGTGTATGACGTGGCGATCTAGCTTGGTGTGAGACACCGCGATCTAGCCCACGCGATCTAGCATGCGCAAAAAGAATCTGTCCCGCGAGCGGAAGCATCCTGGAGTAGCTAAGGGTGAAATCTAAGCATCCTGCCGGCAGCGGCAGCTGCGATGGTCTGTACAGGCAACTTACAGGCGAAGTCGCTGGCCACAGGTTGAGATCTCAAGAACACGTCCTTCATGGGACCCATTGAACATAAAATTCTGCCGCCCACTTGGCGTCAGTTTGGACCGTCTATGGGCACCAGCCGATCGAAGTGGCTCAAATCTTTGTACCTGCCGCGTGCTGTTCGGCGGCCAACGTGACAGCCGCGGCGGTGCGGCGCTGTTCGGCCAAGGTTGGGTGGGTCGAGACGCAAGCAGGTCGAAGGGATCGAACGAAGAGAAAACTGGGGAAACTCCTTGGAGACTAACAGAAGAATGTGATACATCTCGTACTGTGTCATACTGGAAACAAGAAAAAGGAAGAAGAGATAGTATGGTGTTCTGCTTACAAAACAGCAACCAGCAACCGAGTGGGAATGGATTCCGCCCTAACTCGGGCGCACCAGAGGTCCACTTCACGGCCACCGAAGGGTGCAGTATGGAGCAAAACCAGTCGTGGAGCGACACCCCTGGCGCCTGAGGTGTCGCCGGGGATTGGATCATTGTGAACACCTATTGTTCATTGCTGTCTGTTCATTGCTGCGGTTCACCCAAGTTGGTATCATTTCAATTCATTTTCATTGAGAAAAAGATCCGCATCAGGGTGAAGCTTGCCAATGCAAAAGAGTGTGGCGCTAAAGAATGATGCCAGCAATATGTTCGAAAGCCTGCGTCTTCCACAAACTCTCAGATCTCAATCCTGTCTCCTCAAGCAGAACAATTGAAGTCGACTACGACTTATGCAGTGAAAGGGGACTGCAGAAGTAAACGATGGTTTACACTCTAACGTGTAAGCGGAATTGAAAACACCCTGTTCCAGGGAGAGTACGTTTTTCACCCCGCATGGACCCCTGGGTGATGCAACAGGACGACCCTGATGACACCCAAGTTGAACGTCCTCAACCCAAGTAGCAACGCCGAGCCACTAGCAAGCTGCCAACCTAGCGCTCCGGCCTAGCGCTCGACGCCGTGCCGTCCGCCCTGCCGGCCTTCGCCCCAAACCCGGACAGTGAGGCAAGCGACCTCCAGGTACGAGGTAGCATCCAGAGCCAAGCATCTTCAGCTTGCGGATCCAGAAAAGGGGTAGAGTCTTACAACATGAGTTTCATGAGTTCTTTTTGCCCAAAAAAATAACATGATCTTCAAACAGAATAGTTGATAAAAACACAAAATAGATAAACACCTCCTCACAGCTGAATCAGGAGTTTCCCAATGAAAGTTACAAGTCTCAGGTGGACAAAGCTTCCCATTGAAGTGCACAAGCAAGGATCGTGTTTGAAGCGGCGAATCCATGCACAAGTGGCGTGGCCACCATTACTACTCAACCAATCCAACAATCAGAAGATCATCCACATAAGTAGGAGAATTGAATCCCCAAGAATCAATATCACATATTAATTAGTTAGAAATAGAAAGCCCAATTTGCGCAAGTCAGCTCTGTCTCGAACGCAAGTCAGCAAACTCAACTGGCCTTGGCCACAGCATCCAAGAGACCCCCGCCACGGTCGCCTGGCAAAGCCCACTGTAGTACAAACGTCTTACATCATTATTTTGATGTGAAACAAATGGCAACATCGGATATCTATATGTGTGATATATGTATATACATTTTTGTCACTAGTCTGTTCACATTGCGCCAAATCAAGCAAAATGGCGTTCATTGCAGGCAAAGTCCAATCTGTGTTCAAGACAGCGACAAACAGGAAGCTATCCAAGCAATTCATTGTATCATAATCCCCGGCAAACCCTCATATTTCAAGTCCTCCTAGCTCTTCTAACCAGTCCACAACCAGTCAGCTTTCTAGCAAGTCTGGGCAGAAATACATGAGTGGTGGACAAAACTATGTGCTGAACCAACTGCAAGACTAAACTAGAATGTCCTCTCCCCTAACGGTTTTCACTGCTTTGGATGTTTGTCTGGTAGCCCACCTTTCAATGAAAAGGGTATCGGTGGTATGGTTGGCCCCTATGGGTTATGGAGAATTGCAGAAGTTTAGGCAACATCCCTTGTTCCGCAGTCTTGTAATGGTTTTGTCGGTTGCTCGCATCTTCCGCATCGCAAATCCATCCCATAGCAAGCCCAAAGTGAAACAATCCATTATTACATTATGCGCACACCAATCTCGAAGACGTGCTCTCCCTACACGCGCCAACAAACTCACCCACGACAAGCAGCAACTCGTCTCGAGTACATACTCGTGGCTACTTGTTGCACATGCAAAGCATAAGGCCTCATATAGAACTTTTGTACTTTGAGACACTGTGCTTTTGGAATTATCATTGCAGCCATCGCTAAAGTTTCAAGCTGCCCTTTTCAACACCTGGTCTGGCGAAAATTACGCCTTCGGGTGCTCGGAGAAAGGAAAGCCAAAAGGTGGAATCGCTTCTGACCCAGGCAACGTACCTGGGATGCAAAAATGCTTGCGATTCATGGCTGATGAGCCTCAACTGCCGAGTTTGCGATTGCGTTGCTTCTCTGCAGAAATCTGCGAAAACGTACGAGACGACTCTGGAACAAGTGCAGGTGCGGAACATTTATAGCAACAACTGCCTGACAGAGAAGAGAACACATATGCGCAAAACTGCAACCAATTCGGAGAAACTTGCTACATCAATCATCTGCTGCATCATGCATCCATGGACATGCTTTGAGGCCCAAGTCCACGCGCACGCTGCCACATGCTTCTTGCATACCTCCAAGACTTCTCGCAAGGCCTCAAGTCAAAAGGAATACAGTAACAAACAGTTGTTCTTTAAGGTCTTTGTTTCTTGATTCCCTTTCATCTGGTCCTTTCTTCCTTCGTACTTATGACCCAAAATAAGGGGGGCTTGGGGATGGTTTTGGGGGGGGGGTCGCTGCGAGTCGAGTCTCCGAGGCTCCGAGGCTCCGGAGTCGGTCTCTGGTCTGAAGCGGAACCCTTCGCCGGACAACGAAGTCCCAACGGGTCGCTTTTCGACGACTGGCAGCGTTGGCCCAACGGGTCAAGTTGTTGCCTTTCGCTTCCAAAAAGATCGATGGCCGAGACTTTGAAGGACCATGAAACGTGGCGTTTACCGTGTACCGCCTTCAGCTCGCTGAAAAAAGCCCGAGCGGTACACGGTAAACGCACAAATCCGGGCACTCGGTGTGCACCCGAAGCGCTAAACCAGAGTTGGCGTTCGTTTCACGTCACGGCGGGACTGAAAAGCCATCAATCAACTGCACTCCCTCCATGTCCCCAAAGAAGGTCTTTTAAGAAAAAAATATAAACTTGCACAGGCGGCTGCTGTTTGCACATGTGGAGGATCCAGGTAAGGGCATTGATACATTGGAAACTCAAAGACGAAGATGTGTCTTCGCGCCTTCTTGCTGGCCTCATTCGCATGGTCCACATCTCGCTCATGTGACTTGCCTCAAATGCCAGACTCTTCGAGTCACGATGGGGTCTGGATGCAAATCTGGTGCAGGAAGCTCTGAATGATTGAATTTGTTCTACGAAAATAGGTGCTTTTCATGGTGAGTTATGGTGAGTCATCCCACAAGGGCACCAGCCAAATGCTCTCAAACGCTCTGGGGATGCAGGCATTGTGCTAGGAGCTGAAGAGTAAAAAGCTTCAAGGATGAGGGCTGCTGCCTCACCTGCAGTCATGGCCGTGGCTTGGCCACGAAGTGTGCACGGCCGGGGCCAGAAAAGAATAGCTTCCGAAGCTTCACAACTGGACTGAACACACACTCCATGCCCTCCCACAAAAATTCTAAGAACGAGAACTCCGATGTGAAAAGGGTCCTTCTTCTTATTATTATTATTATTATTATTTTTCTTCTTCTTCTTCTTCTTCTTTGTTGTCGTCGTCGTCGTCTTCTTCTTGCGAGCCAAAGGTACGGGGGTGAGAAAAAACGTGTGAAACTAAGTCAAAAACAAAAATGCCGCACCCGCAGGCGCCCCTCATGCCCATCAGCACAGGAACTGGATTTCATCGAGGATTTAAACCAGCTGATCTCGAGAGCCATTAAAGTCAACTTCGCTATGACGGATATGGTTCCAAATCAAAGCCAAGGTGTTGTGAGTACACTGTTTGCGAGGTCTGCCAACATGTCTGAATAAAACTTCGATAGGAGAGGCCCAGTCGTCTTTGAAGCTTACCATTCTCATGGGGTGTTCATTATCTTGGCGAAGAACTCTACCAGCTAATGCAAGCAAGCCTTCGAGTCTTCAGGTTTTCTTGGATGGTTACGATTTTACTTCCCTCTTCTGAAAACTTCAAACATATTTTGCTTCGGCCTTTCTGGGCGAAAAAAAACCAGGCTTCGATGCGTCCAGGGTCGAGTGTTGTTTTGCTGGAGCTGCCAGCGGGGCCTTTGCCTTGAGCTCTTGGAAGCAGCTTCTGATTGCCTCAAACGAAGACGTCACGTCGTTTGGAAAATGCCTGCTAGAAGCTTTAATGCCAAACGGTTTTGGTTCGGAAAACATGACGGCGGAATGGCAGCTTGCTCAGCTTCCCCCAAGAAAGTGATTCGTAGAACAGTACCTCAAATCTATGCAGAAGACGGACTTTGATGCCAATGACCACGCTTTTCTGCAGCTAGATAGAAGGTTCCTCAGAACAAAATACACTCCCATCAATGTATCATGGAAGTGAATCATGGTCCCTTGCATGACCATGTTCCTCTACGACTCTACAAACAAAAAAAGGGGTTTCTCTGCGTGCACTCCTCTTGCATGGTCTTAAGGAGTCCGACGAGTTCGCTCCGACGATCCAACGAATCCACTGGGGGAAGCACTGTTTCCACACTTTCCTCAGCCTGCACCTGCTGACCCCGTCGCGGCCACACGAACGGCGCTGGAACGGCCACACGGTCTCGGTGCCAAGTCCAGGTGCACAGCGTTCCAGAAAAAAAAGACGCACAGCAGTCGGTGTGTACTTTCGATCTCCCCCAACAACTTGGGCCACCTTCTTTTTTCAGCCCCCAGTTCAGCACCAATGGGAGCAGCGTTCTTGGCAGTCTTTTCTTCTGGGCATTGGCAGTGGCTGATGCTTTGGCACCAACACGTGTCGGACCAAGCAGAGAGGGTTGCAATTGCAAACCCAGATTTGCGAAAAGTCACAGAAGGTCTTGGACGTCATCAGTGTCTACACGCAAGCTGCTAAATCTACTAGATACAGGAATGCATTCCTGGATCTTACTGTTACGAACCTGTAAGCCTTTGTATATGCTGGTTTTTGTGCATGTCAAACCATGCGGAAGACCGTGGACTCGTCGTACGTCTCGAACGACCCAAAAGCAGGGCGTACCATGACCCGTTCTTCAGTGCTCGGAAGAGACGGTGCCACCAACCGTCTAGCATGTGTTGAGCAGCACGGGACCCAAAACCGAAACCAGCATCGATCTCAGCGATCCGATTAGGATTCTGATTGCCCTATGCGGCTCTTTTTTGCGAGGACACAGAAGACATCCAGCAGTTCGCACGACTCATTTGCGAGGACATGAGACATCTGATGCTCGTCCTTCTCCGACTTCCACTCAGAAGACCTCTCAGCCATTCCACTTGGCAGCCAGCAGAACGGAATCCAACACCAGGAAACCACGTTCAAGGAGGTCCTGCCGTTGGAGAAGGTTGCGAAATATTCAACCATGCTGAAGAATCATATGACCGGTGGGTCAAAACCAGGATATCTTAGCTAGACTGCTAGACCTACCTGGAAGGTCAAACTACATCAAACTACATGGTGTTGAGGCTCCAAGTTTTGACCCATCCCCATACTTGTCCCAAGCATGGCCAAGCAAAAGCCCCCAACGGTTCTTCGTTCTCGCTCGCTCCAAAAACGCCGCTTGTTTTGGGCGCCCGAAAAGATTCCCGCCACCCCTCCAACTGTGCTTCGGTGACGAAAACAGGTGCCCCAACCGAAGGGCCCGGCGTCCTCCACGCGGCGGCCTTCCTTCAATAGAAGTCGCTCTTTGGCCGTCAGACTCTGGGCACGGCTCCTGTGGCGGTCGACGAGTTCCACACATGGCGAGCTTGTGTGGACCTATGGTTCCGTGTGTGGACCAGGTGGATTGGGGACCATCCAAGTGGAAGAATGGTGGATGCTTCCTTAAAGAAGGAACGGAGCCAGGAGCATCCTGTTAAGGTGAGAAATGGTTCCCTTCCTAGCTGGCCTACTGACACAGAGCTCACCTTCTGCCCCAAGAGATGGCAAACAAATTCTGCCAAGACACTCCAGTGGCATGATGCGTGCATTCTCCTTAGGTCAAGTCCAACACCATGGCAACACACAGGTCTGTCTATTTTGAACTTGGCTCGCCCTCGAAGAGATGCGAGAACTTGTAGATCCTTCTCACAGATGAAAGCTGTTGTGGCTCAAAAATGCAGTCCCAAATGCGAGACCTGTGGTTTCCCTTCTGTTGGGCAAACATGCATGGTCGAGTTTCACAATATTCAACCTCGCGCCCATGCATAGAATCATGCACTCACCAAAGTGAGGCCACCAAGTGCAAAAATGCATGAACTCCGAGAACGGAAGGCAAACAGTCCATAGTAACCTGGCTGAAGCCACTGGAGAAGAGTGGCTGAAGCCACTGCCAAGTAAACAAAGTCAAAAAGAAGACTCTTTATGTCTCCGAAGAAAACGCTTTATGTCTCTGTACAATATCTGATCAACCTAAAGACTCATCGTATCTGTCCCGCCCCACCCCGTCCAGAAGTCCGACCCGCCCTAAACTACCAGAGACCAGCAGGTCACATGAACGTGTTCCTCTTAGCCTACAGCAAAGACCTTTCCAACGAAATGTTGATTTATCCACACCTACTCCTTTGCATAACCAGCTTCATCTCTTCTGAACCGAAATTGAACACAAAACATGTGTAGAATGATGCTGAATAACTCTTGCCGTGTCATTAGCATAATCATCATCGTCGCCGGCGGCGGCGGCGGCGGTGGCGGTGGCAGCGGCCACGGTGGCATCTAGCTTAGACTACTTTTAGCAGCAGGAGAATGAACAATCCCGTAGACTACTTGAGTATAGAATAGACAAAAGTGTGGGAAGTCACTCTATATATATATGCCTTCAAAAAATCGAAATAAAACATTATATATAAGTATATATTTATATATTTACATTGCTCATGTGGTTCTTGCCCGTCACTGGTGCATCAGAGCTTCTGAGCGAAATCGGGTGCGCAGATTCAGCAGGGCATCCAGCACCAACTCCTCCGTACTGGCCCAGACGCGCCGCATATCCTCAAGCTTTCAAGAGAAAAATTGAAAAGGAAGCAAAACAATGAAGACATGGTGTGGAAAGCATGGTGCAGTCGACACTTCTTTGTAAGATTCCAAACATACATAGTATGCAGACTCATTCAAACAAGAATATCAGCCAAATCAAGTACACTGCACCCAGTCGAGGCAAGGAAGGGCCTTGCAAAAGAAATTTATCTTTCGTGTTTTGTTCAAGGGTACTCCAGCATCTTGCCCACAGCAACTTAAAGCAGTAAAAAATAGAATTAGTTTCATCTTTAACAGCATTCTCCATGAATGAGACAGGTGCAAGAGATGCTGAAAGTGTCATGTGGCCAACCTGGCTTAAACAAGTAGTGGTGAATTCATCGGTCTCTGGCATTCACAAACTCCTCTTTCTTCCCCACCGCTTGCGATGCATGCCATGCTTCCACATAGTAGAGCCACAGTGAATTGGCTACCGCACCATCACTGTTTCGAGCAACTTGTTGCAAATTCAGCACTGAATGCTTTACCATTGATTGCAAGATCTCGCGGCCTTCCTGCCTCAGTGGGGATTTCCAGACCCAGAAAATCGTGCCTTTTCTAGCACCAAATGGTTGCCTTTGCGAAAGTCCCCGAGAAACGAAATCACAAGGTTGCTCATTCTAAACTCTTGATTGAGTGTCATTCGCGATGGAGAAGCAATCCAAACTGGAAGTAGTGACGGCTTCCGAAAAAACAAATATCCGCAAAGGAATAATTCTGCTGAGTCACAAGGGGATCATGCAGATGTTGAAGATGTGGTTCTCTTCAAGCTTCTGTCGGCAAAAAGCGCCAAAAAAACTGCTGACTTGCCACTCCGAGTCACATAATCTGTCGGCCTTTTACATGGTTCTTAACTGGTTTTAGCGCAAAGAGTTTATCATGTTCCAGCGTGAAAAAACCTGTGCCGTTTCTCAATTTCTCCATGACAATCGCCTGCGGAGGGTCTCCTTCTTGCAGCAAGTTGAAGATCCGAAGTCCAACTTGGCCTTGTTTCAGTCCAAACACACCAGTGATGTTTCATGGGCAATGCCCATGTAGAAGTCAAAAGTAGATGAAACATGGCGAGAATTGCAGTTGGTTCTCCTACACAATTGTGACCAATGTCAGTCAAGAATTGGGCCAACTTGGTTGTGGCAGATTTTGAATAAATACACACACATATACATACTCTACCTGATCTAATATTGGAAGCCACAGCGTGTGACTTGTCACTCCAGTAGGCAGCTGAGGTGCCAAAACGGTCACGAATCAGTTGAGACATGGTCAGCGAGCGCAAGCAGTCCTTAGCTGGTTTTCTCATCAGCAATGTCTTGCTGTGGACTTGCAAAACTATCTGAAACAGATCGCCTGAACATGCAATTTGTTCCATACTACAACCTTATTGCGTTCAGCAAAGAATCGCCTGCTTTCGCCCAATCCACAATCCACTCTGAGCGAAGCTCTTCATGCCCCTCAGCCAGGTGTTGTTGTTTTTTCAGGCAGGCCCTGAAGGGGTGCATCAGCTCGAGTGTTGCAAACAACTTAGACCAAAGTAACCTACTTTTTGGCTGAACATCGTTTGTGCTTTCAGGAAGTGAACATCTTCGCATCCGAAAAACGAGGGACTGGGGGGACGGTGCCCAAGGACCCCGGTGGCGAGGCGTCGGTGCCCCCGTGGCGAGGACGGGGCCCCCCAGTGTGGGAATGGCTGCGCTGGACCGCTGGCTGCTCGGGGTTCGGGGATGAGCCAGGCGTGATGACAGGTGCTGCGCTTTGCAAGGTGTCTGGATTTCTGAAAGCCCTCGAAAACAGCAATGTTGAGCCAATAAGTTTAGCCACGAGCCCATGCTTTTGCGACAAAGGGGAAGGAACATTTCTATAAGCCAACAATAGCAGAAAATGACATCTGGCTAAATAACTTTGGACCACCGCTGATTGTATGTTAGCAGCCTTGGCCACGCCTTCCCTCTGTGGAAAATGTAGGCTGCCACCCAAGATGTTAGGCTGCGGGCAGTGAGATGAGGCATCGGGACTTGTCAGGACACATTTCAGAGCTATGAAATGCACATGAAGAGCCGTGTGAACCTTCACTGAATGCGGTGAACTTTCAGGCGTTTTTGGACGCCAATAAACCATGGACCGTTCAGCCAGAACGGTCCATCTACACCGCCTGAAACGGTGCAGGAGAAGGCTGAAGGGTCCGTTTCATCGAGAGGACAGGCTGAGCCTCCCTCAGCAAGCTCCTTCTGTACGTGGGAGACTGGGAGGGAGACCGTAATTACCAAATTGATTGGCACTTGGACCCACGCAATCATCCAAGACGGCAACCAGGGCAAACCAGAAGACCCTGGAACAAAGCGAAGAAGCTTGGTTTGTTCACGCGTTTGGGCGTCCATTTTCCGAGCCCTGCCCCCAGCGTCACAGCACCATGTCATCCAGAAAATTATCGTGATTCCCACCGCTGCAGGTGACCCCCCACTTCATGTGGACATGACACCACCTAAAGTGAAGAGGCGGAGTCCCTACCCTGGCCTTGGGCATGTGTTTTCCTCCTTCCTCTCGCCCTCTTTGCTATCTTCAGTGCCATTTAGTGCCTCTGTGCCTCCTTGCTTCCCTGCCCCCTTCCTACCATCCAGCCTCTGGGTTGTCTGGGCAAGTTGCTTTCTGGATACCACCAGCATTGTTCATCTCACCACAATGCCTATTAAGAACGTATCTGTTCATCACTTCTTTGATATAGAATGTATAACACCACATCAAAGTAAAGCAAGAACACAAAATACGGTCTCCAAATTGCACCATGATGCATCTCTTGCAGGACGCGCCGCCAGGTCAGCTAAACGTGTGAACTCATTCAAGGGCGTGGCCTGGCAAAAATCTGAACGGATTGGCTTATTTTTTGATGAAAGTCAACTTCTTGGTTGATCACAACGATTTCTGCCTGGCATACTTGTCAGCAATCAATTAACTGTCCAAGTCTACAATGGGAATGTTGCAGGCAACCCTATTGCGAAACAACAAGAGAGGACATGCATTACTCAAACTCAACATGGTGCACCGTTGAAATCGTCGTATATAATACGCGCCGCTGTTCGCTCTGGACCTGGCGCCTGTGACGAAGGAATTCAACCTGCCAGGGCTGGAGGGAGCTCCAGATCGAGCTTGGCCAACCAGTTGGCCGGTGCTTTTTGAATCGAGACCTGTACATATTTGGAAAGCAACGTTCCATTCAGTCAAGCTCACCTGAAGGTGTACAATGTCATCACTCAAAGTTGTCCATGCAACTGATACAGGGCACATCAATGAGGCAAATACACAAGAACCATATCACAAAGCCTATTAGCTTAAGGCTTACATTGTCAAACACGTGAGATGCATTTTACTTGGAGGTTGAGGTACAAGTTTGGAGTTCAACATGATTCCGCGGAATTGCTTTAAGAAAGTTGTTGCAAGAGACGCGAACACTTCGAGAACTGCAGGAAGCACACTGTACGTGTTGACCTGTCTCAACTCCCTTCGCACTCTCGGAAACGTGCTCCTTGTTGACAAGAAGGTCCAACTTGCTCCGCAACTTTTCGCGCAGCCGATGAGGATCGCGCTCGCGGCCAGAATTTGGGAAAAGCCCTGGAAACAAGGCAAGTGATCAGCAAAAGCAAAACCATTCCCTTGCAATGTGCTTAGCCACTTGACACCTTTAGCATTGGTTGGTGTGCTCGCTCCACCTGAGTTGATGATGCCAAGATTCGTTGATGACGCAGTCGTGCGTTTCGGGTCGCCCGCCCGGAAACGCATCCTAACTCGTTCGACCGCCCCAACGACCTGGGGTGAAACGACCACGAATCAAACGTCTCGGTCGCTATCGACGTGGTTTCACATGGCCCCAAAAAGACATTTCAGACGAAACCGAAAGCCTGTGGTACCTTTGCTATGGCTTTGCCTGAGGTTCTATAGCCTTTGTCTTGAAGGCCCTGTGGCGGCCGCGTTTGTTCAAACATGTCATGCAATCCATACACCACGAGGAGAAGAGCATTTCTTCTTGAAGGTTCCAAATTGACCATCCTTTCTAATTAGAATCCTGCAACAGACTATTTCCTCTCCAAGGTTCTTTAAGGTTATAAGTTATAAGTGCAAAAGCGGGTGATGATTGACCCTCCCACACTGGTCACACTGGCAATGGACTTCCCAATTCGACCGCGGCTGATCAATGTTGTAAGAAGTATGTCGTTAAAAAGAGAGACTTGTTTTCTCCCCAGGGTATGTTCAGAGCACATCGGCGTCGCCAAGTTAAAACCAAGCATGTCGAGACTGTGCAAGAGGAGCAAGAGGACGAGCATTCTTGTGTGTGGTGTCAGACTTGGTCGTCTGTGTAGAGATCAGTTGTGTGCGTCCAAAAAACCTAAAGGTTACAACATGGACATCCAATGGCCAAGTACTTGACTCAAAAGGAGCTAGCTTTCTTGGAAGGACATTCTAAGGATGGGAAGGTGTGTGGCTTGGTTCTCTTGACAGTTTGTTCTCAGTCGCCCCATCATTAGTAGATGGCACAAACAAACCCCAAGATGTCCGTTACATTGCGGTCCATGTAAACCACCTTTGGGGGATTGTGCCATCTACTCTGAAACCACTGTAAAAACAATCTCATCTTCTGCACTTGTTCCAGCATCCCTCTGTTTGCTGGGTTCGCCAAAAGCTCCATCGTTCTTGGCAACAACACTGCGTCCTTGGCTGCTGTTCTCACTGGTTGACAGGGAATTCTTGGGGTGATCTATTGTCTCACGGGTCAAGCATCAAAATGAACCTTGTTTGGCTGCATTCCGGCTTCTCAGCCGACTGTGACAGATATGAATATATATATATATATGGCTGCCGCGCTTGACTCAAGTTCTTTAAAGAACTTGCAGGACTTCTTGTGTCCACAAATCTGAAGGTCTTCTGGCGTCTGTGTGTTCTGTTGAGTAAAAGTGAGTCGGTTTTCTCTCTTCTTGACGCACAAATAAGGCTTTCCACAGCGAAGCTAGGGAAGTTAAAATGAGAGCACTTTGGGGCACTGGCGGCCTTCCGACTGTTCAAATCTTGCTTTTCCCTTTGCTATTTGTGTCCTCTTTTGGCATGTGCTGTTGAATGTTGGCATGTAACCATGAACATTCTGACCAACTTGCCAAATCTGTCTATACAACCCAAGCAACAACCGAATCGTGGCCGAACCTTTTCTTCAGCAGAAAAGCCTGAACCAAGGCCTAGGGTTGAGGGCACCACGTTCCCAGACTTGCTTTTGGGGGGCCCGTGGGGCTGCGTCCTTGAATTCTGCAGGTTCTGACGCAGAAAAGCCCAGCCTAGGTGTCGTTCATGGATACTCTCAATGGACACCCAGTTCGCCATCACGCGTTCGTTACCTTGGCAGGACAACATCGAATAACAGTGACAGCTTCATTTGTAGAATTTTCCTGAATGCGACCAATGCCAGCTCAAAGGAGGAATGTGCAGGAACATCAAAGTAATGATATCTTATAGCTCTTAAGAATCCGTTGACTGTTCTGCATGCGGACTCGTCTCTGTCTGGCCCCACAGAAGTCAGCATGGTCATCATGACTTGTGCTGCCAATTCGTCCACCTGCTCCTGTATCGCAGGCTTTCCGTTGGACAACAAAGACTGTTCTAAGAGGCAACCCTGTGCGGCTGCACGCAGTTGGGTTCTTGTTCCACCCTTCCTTTGAATCCCCAAACCATGTAGGTCAGCAGTATGGGCGATTGATTGGAAGACCTGGAAACTTCATCGCCCACCACGACAGCTGGGCTTTGATTCCACGTCAGTCCTCCACAATCCGGCAAAGAAGATTCTTGCAAATGCAAAGGTTTAAGTTCACGCGATCGTAGCGATAGACCACCTGCGAGCCACGATAGATCTGTCTCTCTCTCTCTCTCTCTTTTGCGCTGAATGGATGGCCTGCTGGACATGGGTACCGTTATCTGTGGCATATGTGCGCCATGTTGTGACACCAGGGCTTCTTTGCACCACCTCAAAACCGCTTTCCTTACAAACCTGTGGAATCTGTTCCGGTCATTGAACCAGCATGGAAGCACCGGTAACCATTCCGCCATGGAAGTACCGGTGAAAGACGGGTACGCGCCGGCGGGCGATACAAGTTAGGAACCCCGTTCCCAAAGGTTCAAGCCATTACTGGGTGTTGCCAGCAAAACTTTTCCAGGGTGTCCTACCAGCACAAATGGGAAACTCTAATCAAGGTCGGTCAATACCTGGGCAGCGAGCGACATGAACAACAAGCAGCACGACTACTGTGCACGCATTGCACATAAAAGAAAAAGGAAAACAACCGCCAATTCCTGCTCTGCTGGATTTATCAAACTCACCCCTATGACAAATGCACAACCATGGGCACCTGCACAGGTATCGCATCGTGTTGACTCTGATCTCAGTAACTAAAGCAACACTGTGAAAGGTCAAAGCTACTTCACCGCAAGATGAAGCTGAAAAGCCTTGAAAGTTCTTGCAACATAGGCATCTATTTGGAGGTGTTATACGGCTTGCTTCTATTGACTACCTGATACCTGATACAGTACCCGGTTTGTGTTGCAGCGCCTCTGAAAAAAGTTGATGCACACTTTAGCCGCTTAGCCGCTTGCCAGGCCTTGCCTCCGTAGTCTCCGCCTTGCTGTCTTGGGAATCCTGTCACAAAGAGAAAGACACTGCCAAAACTGCTTTCTGGATGCCTCAAAACCTCATGTTCTTTTTCCTGAGCTACTCTGCTGTGAAAAACTATCTCCTCTGGACCATTCTGTTTTTCTGCTTTGCAGCTTCGAAGAAGAAACATTGCAAAACGCAGCAGGTCGTTTTGTCGTTTCTTTTGCACCTCGAGGCGGCGCCGCTTTCGAGCCTCTTCAGCCCTGGCGGCGAACTCGATGTAAAACCAAAGCAAACTCCTTTCCCATGTTTTGTTGGCTGGCACGAAAATGAAGCTCACAGGTCGATTTAGAGCGTACCCGCCCCAAAATCCATCCTTTCAAAGTGGTGAGTCACAAACAAAGCGATGAAAATGATAATCACAAAGCCCACATGTTGATAAATTGATAAGTAAGGTCCTGCAGTTCAATCTCATCAAATCCAATACATGCCACAACGCCATGGATTTTTGGCGGCTGTCGCAGAACTTAGAAAAGCAACGCCCTTGGTCGGTACGGACTTGTGGCCAATCCACAACACACAAGTGGCTACCGGCCACACAGCTTCCGAAGCAGAAATGTTGCGGACTTCTACCAGTCCTTCTGCACTCGCCCTGATTCCAGCCGGTGGTTGCGCACTCTCACCCAAACCGTTCTGCTTGGACCCGAACAGCCCTGTCCACGGTTCGCTTCACTCGCCGACCAACGGCCCAACTCACGCGCCTGGGATCAAAGTCAGGCCTCAAAATCCGCTCCTTCACCAGCTGCTGCAGTAGCTTCTCCAGCTCCGGCGGCGGCATCTCGGCCTCCGAGCTGAGCAGAAAAACCTTTCAGTCGGAGAGAGGTGTGGACTGAAAGCATCTATATGCTGATAAAGCCATATGACAGCACTTCTATACCGTCCCTAAAAACTGATAAAAGCAAAAGCATCTAGTGTCAAAACTGCTCATAAAAACTGGGTCGTGCTCACGTTCACGACCCTTTGTCTGCCCTGCGGTCCTGCCTCTGCCTCCTTGAGGAGCCGTGCTTTGCTGATGCGGCCGTACTTCAAGGTCAACAGCAGCATCTCAGCGGCCTCCAGCGGTGCAGGTCAAGCTGCGGTCTGACTCACAGTCCCTGGAAAGTGGAGAATGGTCCCTGGAAAAGGACTTTCCTTTATGAACAAGTTGTCCACTTCCATGTTTGTGAGTCAGAGTGTTGCTGGAATCCACACAAAAGCTGTTGCTGCTTTCGCCGGGGTGAAAATGATGCCCTGAACCACCGGGCAAGACTCCATTTTTGGTCTCACTCCCATTGCGAACCTCTTCACCTTTTGCAGCAGCCACATACTCTAGGTATTGTGGAAAACGCAGCCGCGCCAGGATCTCATCGCTTTCTGCTTTGTACACCTGGCCAGACTTTTCTCCAACAGGCCAGCAAAACCAGACCCACATCTTTGTCCCATCAAGCCCAGGGAGCAAAGTGTGTCTCTCAGCGCTCAAAAGCATCGAAATCCAATTCGGTTTGGGCTCGGGGTGGGGGGAACGAACCGGTTCTCGCCGAGCTGGCCCAAAACTGCTTCGGGGTTGGCGTCGTTCACTTGGCGTAGTCATGGGTTCCTTCAAAAAGAACCCTTTTCGTTCGATGTGTTCCAGCATCGTTCTTGAGCTTCCCCACTGATGAGTTGCTTGGGAAAGCAATCAGTTGACCAACCAAGGTCACTGAGCGAGCGATATCATCAATCGCGAGATCTCGCTGCGACCGACGAGGGGTGGAAGTGGAATCATCAACTCATCAATGAGGTCTATCATGGTCTACCATGGTCTATGATTCCATTTTTCATAAGTTCATGAGTTGATGATTTAAATCATGTCCTTCATGAGGTCTATCATGGTCTACCGGTTTTTCCATAGAACACAAAGGACCAAAAAGAACGAGTGTCCTCCGACAAAGCACGCCCACATCTACAGTAAATCGAAACCAAAACCAAGAACTTTGGCACTTTGGCCAATTTTGGCACGTACAAAAGTTTGAGTCACATCAACTGTTCTGAGACCTATTCAAGTTCCACTGCGTGTGATCCATTGCAAAGCGGTTCCCAGATCCCGGCGTTAGAGGACGCAGTGTTCTTCCAATGTCCTTCGTTTGAGGATTGGATGGGCTTCACTGTACACGACGCGATGCGACGTCCGACTTCACCTCGATCGACTCGGAGGTATTCAAGGCTCCGCAGCTTCCAAAGGTGAATTGAACTTTAGGAGCGATCACAGCACATGAACAAAGAAAAGCACCTCTTTGGATATGTGTGATCTGAAACTGTCCACGAGGTCCGCTACTGGACTGCTGTTACCGAAGAATTTTCAGCAGAACCAGGGGTCGACAGGTGAAAAGGGTGCCCCAACTTGAGACAGAGACGTCTTTTCATTTGTTGCAAGTTGGGGCAAGCAGAAACCAATTCAACCGGTTTCAGGAAGACCAAAACGACACCTACAAAAAATTCTTCAGGTTCTTCAGCACGCGTATTGAGGGATGAGGCTGAAAGAATGACAAGAGAAAAAAACTGTTGGAAACCAATATAGAAATAGTTCCACGACGAAGGCAAAGTCGTTGCGCCGAAGCCATAACCGTTCAATAATTCAGGAAATTTAACAAAAGGAAACATAGACTGTCAGTAGGTCTCATTGTCTCGTCAAAACAATTTATGGCACCTGCAGGTAGCTCTCATCTGGGCTTTGGTAACTCACCAACGAATGCTGCAGCATGACCAGCATTGCATTGCGCAAGGCTGGGAACTCCACCGCCTCTTGCTGCGTCTCCTCCCGACTCAGTCAGTGCAGCTGCCATAAATGAGCAAGAATGCTAAGAAGCACATCTGCTACATAAGTCCACTGAAGGACCTCGTATGTTAACCCTTCACAACCATAGGCTGCGTCTTGAGTCTTGCTGGCTCGAGCCTTTCAGTTTCCCAAGAAAATACCATCTCAGACCCACCAGATCAATGCTATGGTTCAGTGCTAAGAACTATACACTGTATAACTTGTTGTTGAGGTTGTCTCATGTTGTTGTGTCACCCCAAACTGTGTGACGTCTGTCAAACCGCAGGAGGCAAACTTCAAAACATCCGCTTCAGACATTCCGACCTATAAAAGGAAAAACGGTACTTTTAGGGTCAATCAAGCCACCCTGGTCACCCATCTGAAACACAGGAAGTACAGCCAAACCCCGTCACTTCCTGCACGTAGAAAAGGATCTCTTGGAAGCGCAAGGGACCTCGCTGAAGGAGCACATGCCCAACACGTGCGACCACGGGGCCAAATTGCTCCTGATCGCGGAGCACATGTGCAACACGAGCTGTTCTGGTCAGCCTTTTAAGGACTTAGTTGCTCTTTTGCAGTAGAAAGCGCTTTGCTCTTTTGGTCATGTTCTGAAGAAAAGGATCTGAAGAAAAAGAACGCAAATGTTTGGTACCTCTAGAAGTAGCTTTTTGACTTTGTCAACTTCTGTGTGGTCATAAATACAATCAACTGTTCACATTATGACCTTGACGGCACATCGCTTGTGATGGACGTCATCCAAGCACTAGGGGCACATTGCGTGTATGGTACATGCAATGTCAACCACTTAACCTGACACCAACTAGCTCGGCGTAAAAATGAACTCACAGCTGGACTAGAGAGATCACAAGCAGCCAGCCCAAAGCTTTCTTATTGTTCAACGCCACCCAATGGAAATGCCAAGTCCAGCAACATCATGTCTGGAGCTCATTGACATTTGCTGTGATTTGAACAGCTTCCCTCCATGCCATGTTTGGAGCCACAACCGAGTTGTTGCCAATCTATAGCTGTTACCACATTAACAGGAGCTCCAAGCGCCAGAAGCAATTGAATCGTAAATTAAATCCTTCAATCAATTGCGGATGAGACTGTATCAAACTTTGCTTTGGTACTATTTCTGCAGCGTAGAAGTTTGCCCCTTGTAGATTTGCAGGCGCATATATGTAACTGCGTTCCTACACCGTCACCCTCTTTGTGGCTATGTAGCAGTGTAGCATGCCTCCTTCATCAGTTTACATCTCTGATGTCGCTAAGAAATTGATGTAGCTGATATATGGTACACCACATGTCCTGGAGTAAAACTTGAATCCACATGCTGAGCTTTACTTCTCTCAACACCGTTTTTCTTACTCCTTCCACCCACAGGGCACGTAAAAAAGCCCACGCACACCTTGCCTCCAGAATATCGGCTGCCACACGAATGGCGCTCTCGCTGTCCATAGCAACAGTCCATCATTGGCACGACAAGCAATGCGATTTCTGCAGGTACCTTCAAGGTACCTTCAACTCTTTACTGTGGATGAAAGGCCGTGGATGGATCTTGATGCCTTCACAACCCCCACAATAGCAAGTCTCCTGCAGGAGTCGAGGACAGGAGTCGAGGACAGCTCCCAGGTGGTGGTGTCGAGGTGAGTCGAGGGGCTGGGCGACCCTCGGTTGGGCCGTCGACGACGCTGAGCCGCGAATGAGAGTGGAGTCGATGTGTAGCTCTTTGGGGGACCGACTGTCCGCTGCTCTATCTATGTGCTCTGCTTGTAGAGAAATCGAGGGAAAGAAAAGAATCAACCTGAAGAATATACGCGAAAAGATGTTGCGAAAGTGGTTTCAGGTTCGAGAATAGAGCTATTCTAGCAGGACAGACCCACACACTTCGACTGCATCAGTTGCTGAGCTGGTTGAAAGCTGGCTGCGGTCAAGAAGACGGTCCCTTGAACTGAAGATGTAACCAAACTTGAAACCGGTGTTTGGATGAGATGAGATGAGACCAGTCTTTCTCAAAGTTTTTCACTCGGTCAAATGGCTCACCCTCCGATCCAGGTTAGAACGCCGACCCAGGAAAGAGTCGCCTGCACCGGGCTAGAAGCGCCTGCATCCCGAATGAAGGCTTTTGCCTGGAAATCTTCCAAGGCTCTGAATGCTTGAAGAATCAACATCTTCCCAGGCATTTTCTTGGGAACCCTTCGATTCATCATCTTCATCTTCATCCTCATCGTCATCATCTTCGGGACTCGGAAGACAAATTCGAGAACACGGCCTCCCGTCGTTGGTGATCCAAGGCCTGGAGCAAAGAGGTGTCAAAAAAAGAAACCACATAGCTAGAATAGAAACCTGTTTTTCATAGCTAGCAACCGGTTTTCATAGCTAGAAACACTGATTGCATAGCTAGAAACCACGATACACGGGTCTTTTTTCCTGCAATTGGTTTTTATTTCCTGTCAGATACTGTTGCTGTGTCCAATCAGTTCGTATTGGTTGGATTCATGGGGTGGGCGGAAACGTGTGTTCTTTTTTCAGTTTCAGATGCTTTCGTTGCTTTTCAAATCTCGATCACGCTGCACTGCAGTGCTGACATAGCTGTGGATGTAGAGGGTGTGATGCCCAAAACGTTGTAAATACCCACAGAAAGTCAAGACATGACACCCCAACTGCTGTCAAGCAGCGAAATGTGAGCCCCAACTGCTGACATTGGCTGCGGATGTGAAGTGTATGTCCAAAAGGTTGTAAACAGGACGCCCAAACTGCTGCTCCATAGCAGCGAACTGTAAGCCCCCAGGATATTGAAATATATCCCGAAAAAAGAATGACAGAAAAAAAACGAATTCAAACCGCGCCCTTATTCATATTTTGTCTAAACTTCGAAGGGCGCAACTATTAAAAATATGTGGGACTGGTATGTGATTTGCCCAAACGAGTATTGTCTTGTCCGCAGCTGCTGTCATTCTCACGCAGTGCTGCGTGTCTTTGGCAGCATCAATTCAGGTTCCCTGTATACCCTGAATCAAACAAGCTAGATGACTTGGTATTGAATTATGCTAGCAGTTTCAGCAATATTACTTTGCGTTAACTAGTTATTCGAAAAAAAGACTTAGGCAAGTTGAACCACTGTTCAGGCAGGGGCAGAGAAAACATGGGGGTTTTGAACGTGCTCTGAACCATCTTTGGAACACGATCTGTGTGTTTGGTCCACCGATGTTTTTCTTGGTCCGGTGATGTGGCACACGGCGGGATGGCCTTTCAGCTCGAAAGGCATGGAAGACATGGAAGACATGGAAGACAAGTCATAGACGCAAGAAATTCACAGACGCAAGACAGCCCGCTGCGGCGCAGCAGCTTCGCATCGCAAGGGCGATGGAACGAGCACGCTCGATGCTCGTCACCTCCAGGAGGATATCAGTGCCTACCCCCTGGGTAGTGACGAAGCAAAAGAGAGACCATCAAAAGCAGCAGTCGGTGTGTAACCCATGGAGTTTGTTCGTCCTCTTCACGGCCCGAGTCGGTGGAGTTCCGTCACGCGATTCGCTTCCGAAGTTGACCACTTCAGTGACCAAGAAGTGTGTACAAAAACCGGAAAAAGCGCCTTCTGCTTGTCATAGACCTTGTCCAGCATCTCCCAAAGCTCCGGCCGTTCGCGAAGCTGCACTGGAAAGGAACTCCGATTGCCTTGGTTGGTTTGAGGAAATCGTCCGTGACTTTTGCCGTTGTCCCAAAGCCAGGTGCACGCTGCTCGCGCAGACCAGTTCTCAGAGCCCCGGCCGGTCTGCAAAGCTGCGAGCAGGTCACGGGCCAAAAACTCCTGCGGAACCCGCCGAAAGCGAAGCGTTCCGCGCGTCGCGTTCGGCACCGCCCAGGTGAACTGCAACAGTGCTGGGCACTTACTTCCGGAGCCTCCACTTCCGGGTCATGTAAGTTTGCGAAAAGAAGTGAGGAGGCCTCAGAATCGGCGTGGAGCATGTGGCAAGGGCGGGTACCAACTCAACACATCGAACGTGACAAATGCTCTTTCGACAAAAGAAGACCTCCTCCATTCTCAAGCCCATAGGGTAGACCTTTATCACGTACTGAACAACCAGCTGGAACAAAATCAAGGCCAGCACAAAATCTACCACGTGCCCTTTTTTATGGCTGATATGTTCACCCATCTAGTTCCTTTTGGGATCGTTAGCGTTCTTCTCTGACGCTCAAAATGCATATGAACACATTAACATTCCACACAAAATCAAGCCCCACATGGAATGATCTCCGGGCAATCCAGCATGCTGCACCAATGGAAAGGGAAGATTGAAGAGTTGAGAGATGAAGAGACAATGGTCATTCGACCATAACAACCAAGCTGCGGTCTCCCGATCCACCCCAATGCCGTGAAATCCACAACCTGGGACGCTGTGAGGAGGTGCCTGAAATGCTCATTCTGTGGGGAGGTGTGCCAACAAAACCACTAGCACCATGATGGAGAGATTTTAAAAAGGGAATAGTTTTTTCAATTATGTTCACCGGTCTTTTCCATATGCTGCAGCACGACGATTCACAGCCCTCCAAAAACATCGACGACATCCTCTTCTATGCCAGCTCTCCAAGCCGGTTCATGCATACACCAGCACTAGTAGGCCAGTCTTCTTTCTTGCCAAATCCTTCATTTCCTGCAATGCTCTTCTTGCCCCTTGCCGGTCCTTCTCCGAGTCGTTTTGTGTCCACTCCCCAGTGGTATCATCTCAAAAACCAAAACCTCTTCACTCGAGTAATTGAATCTCTGTGGCGACCTTGGAACACTACCACTGCATGCTTGACTCGATAGTGGCCATGAAAAGTGCTTCCACGCAGCACAAAAAAATGATGCGAAAACACACCTTTGATACACCTTTCAAAACACCTGACTTAGATCATCTTGAAGAGCAGCAAATCTGGAGGAGTTGTCAGAATATCTCTTGATATCTCGACCTGATTTCTGCCTGGCTTGTGCCTGAGAGGGTTCGGCGTGTTGAGCAGCTGGGCCTTATGGGGGGCTGCCAACAAAGTCTTGAAGCTCTCCAACCAGATTACGCGTCCGGACGGTCACATAGACCACAAAGCCCCGACTCAAGTCAGCCACCAAGCGATGAAGCCTCGAGTGTGGGACACAGGGAGCACTGGCACGCTACCGTAGGCTTCTCCAAAAGCTGGGCCAGCTGAGGTGACGCTTAGGGACACCCCATGTAGCCCGACCGGCATCCCATGTAGCGTCTGGGCTCCGCTCCTAGGCAGTTCCCGATTTGAACGTTCACTCAAGTGCAGCGAGGAAGAGGCCGGTGGCCAACAGCGCGACCACGCCAAAGCATCAAGAGCAACTCAAAGAGCAATCAAAGCAACAGAGCGACTCCTCCTGAATTCTAGACCTCGAAGAAGGAAAAAGAGAAGCAGGATCTGCATGGATCTGGAAAAGCCAGCCGCGGCGGCGCAGTTTAGGCACCAAACCCCAGGAAAATGACAAAGCATCGGTCCAGAAAACCAGGAGGGGTTGAGCAAAGCTTGATAGTTGCACAGCCCTAGGGCACCTGGAACCAGTGTGAAAGTCAAACATCACCAAAACTTCTGTTGTTTTGTCACCTGTTTCTTGCAACGTCTTGATCGCTCTATATATTTAAAAAAAACAAAAACATCCTTCTGAGGTGCCAATGCATTTTCATCGTCCTCTGATGCAGACCTAAGCCCTTAAGTGATGGTTCTGAGACCTAAGCGGCTTCACATAGACGGACGGCTCGCCACATGGACTGACGTGAATTGTTTGCTTGCTCCTGACTGCTTGATGTTCTTGCTTGGAACCTATCAGGGTACTCAGTCGAATCTGGCGTATGACTGATTGAGAGCTTCAAGACAACAGATATGACAAAGGTCAGAACACTGGGGAAAGGAGAGAAACCCTGCGGCATCTGCAGACAGGCCCTTCCGAGCCAAGGTTTGAGAGCCAGGCTGTGATCTGCCGGCATGCATTCCACCAGGAAGCAGCGGCCATCAACAGAGAACCTGCAGTTTCACACAACCAAGACAAGCTTTCACACACGAGCTTTGCATACTGGACCACTATAGCTGCAGCTTACTTTCTGTATCCAAAATCTCAAGTCTCAATCTTCAGACCTCAATTTCAAACCAGTGAACAGCTGAACAGCTCTTCAAGCTCTTTCGAACAGCTGATTCTCTACGTTTCAAAAGGTCGCGTCTTCATCGAAGGACCTCCGCTCCTTTGGGCGGAACGGTGGAACCTCTGTGTACCTGGATGCACCGAGAGAAGCGACCGAGTCTTCGGTCACGTCACGTCACGACTCACGAAGAAGTCGGTGCAAATCTACGAACGGATGAGTTTCTGGAGATGTGGTGGATATTTGGTTCAAACACTGCAGATGTGGTGCATTTTTTGTTCAAACGATTGGGGCGCCAGAGCACCAGCGATTGTATCTGAGCAACCCTCCTCACTGGGGCTTCCTGCCCACGGAAAGTGCTCACCGGCTTTTGCAAAGGATGTGGAGCGCCCACATCCTACA